CGGAGGCCATTCCTGTGGACATGAAGTCGGCAGACTGGTGCATAGCGCAGAGCCCACGAAGAGGGGACACAAAACTGTATTAAAAGAGGCAGAAGCGATCGATAACTGAGTAGCGTCGTAGCGTACTGCAGGCTGAATATGGAACACCTAAGAATGGTCAGAACGCCAGATATTAGTGCGATTGCCATGGACGTTATTATGACGGTCATTTAGCGCCTAGGTGTAAATGGAATAATGAAATGCTAGTTGTTAGGGATGCAGTTCACATGTGACATGGCAAATATCAAAACAGTCACAGCAAATCACACCGGTAGTCAAGAATATCATAGGCAATGGAACGAGAACACCCGATACTGGTGCACAAACATAGCTCACTTTGGAGCACGACAGAATACAACCAGACCATAGGAGTGCAGCAGCGCAAAGTCCAAGGACGGGTAATGAGCGCATGAGCTCAGCAGGCTTACGCTCAGACGCTCACGTGGGAAATCCTTGTCCTTCCGTAGTCCCTTCGGTGACGTAGCCTAGGATCTGGCACACAAACGAGTGTTGGTGGCTGCACGTGTGGTGGTAGAGGCCGGCGGCGCCGATGGCCACGCACGACGATGTGGTGCCGGCCACCACCATGCCGCTGGTGAACCAGTGGGGCCGCATCGCCAACAACTCGCCGGTCACAACGTTCACGTATTTCATGATCGCCGCGTCGTATCTGATGCCCACGAAAGTGTAGCCGCCTCGGTTGGACACCCACGTCTTGAGGAAGCTGACGCTGGCGTCGGTCGTGGGCACGGCGAACGTGGCTCGGGGACTCGTTTCCAGGCAGCGGGCGTTCACCATGTGGTGGGGAAGAATTGGTGAGATCTGCAGGTGGTAGCCGATCCCGTCGGGACCGACGGTGTACTCCACCGTCGGCGCGGCCATAGTCACGGCTCCAGTCGTGCTTGGTTCGGTGGTCAGCTCGGTGGTCAGCTCGATGGTCAGTTCGGTGGTCAGCTCGGTGGTCAGTTCGACGGTCAGCTCGGTGGTCAGTTCGGCGGTCAGCTCGTTAGTCAGCTCGGTGGGCAGCTCGTTAGTCAGCTCGGTGGTCAGTTCGTTGGTCAGTTCGATGGTCAGTTCTGTGGTCAGCTCGAGGGTTAGTTCTGTGGTGGGTTCGGTGGTCAGCTCGGTGGTCAGTTCGGTGGCCAGCTCGGTGGTCAGTTCGGCGGTCAGCTCGGTGGTCAGTTCGGCGGTCAGCTCGGTGGTCAGTTCGGCGGTCAACTCAGGTGGTCAGCTCGGTGGGCAGCTCGTTAGTCAGCTCGGTGGTCAGTTCGTTGGTCAGTTCGATGGTCAGTTCTGTGGTCAGCTCGGGGGTCAGTTCTGTGGTGGGTTCGGTGGTCAGCTCGGTGGTCAGTTCGGTGGCCAGCTCGGTGGTCAGTTCGGTGTTCACCTCGGTGGTCTGTACGGTGGTGGGTTTGGTGGTCGGCTCGGTGGTCATTTCAGTGGTCAGCTCGGTGGTGGGTTCGGTGGTGGGTTCGGTGGTCGGTTGCGTGGTGGGTTCGGTGGTCAGTTGGGTGGTCGGTTGGGTGGTGGGTTGGGTGGTGGGTTCGGTGGTCGGTTCGCTGGTGGTCAGCGGCGCCAGCGCGCTGCTCTGGTACAGCGGCTCCCGTGTCAGCGGCTGGTCACCGGCCGGCGTCGGCCAGTACTGGCAGAGGCCCTTGCCAGCGTCTCGGCGCCAGGCGTAGCAGGCCTGATTGCGACTGCAGGCCAGCGCGCACTGCACGGCCGAGTCCAGCCGCAGCTGCAACGCATGTGGCCCGGCGCCGCGCGGCCGTACACGCAGCGAGTAGGCCTGCGTGCTGCCGCAGGCCGGCTGCAGCAGCAGCAGCGGCAGCAGCAGCTGCAGCAGCGGCGGCCCAGTCATGCCGGCAGACAGGAGCACAGCGGAAGTCCACTGGAGCTGTCCGCAGTGCCGGGATGACGCCGGACCAGTCCCGACAGCAGGCGCAGCGGGTGCAGTGGACGCGGCGAGGAACGGACGGGACGGCGCCACCGACGCCACTGGGCCGACAGTCGGAGCCGCTCTCGGGACGTCGTTGACCGCCAGTATCCAGGCGACGAGGCCCGAGCGGGTCGCTGCGCCCCCCGATGCTCGGCGGCTGTCCTAGAGCCAATCACGTGGCTTCCAGGAGGCGGAGCTGTTGCCGCCCACAGGGGCCATTCAGACCCAGCTAGTCATTACGTAGGGTAGCCCGGCATGAAAAAATACTTAATATAATAAAATATATATAATAATAAAATAAAAAATGTCAGAACCGTGGCACCAGAAACATCGGTGCGCCTGGGAACCAATTAGGTAGGCGCTGTGCTTTGGTATATCTACTCAACAAGAGGGCGAACGTTACGAGCGCTTCATGACTGGTTCAAAACCTTGGGAGTCCTGCCGGGCAGTCGTGATGCGGGTCAGTTGTAGCAAAGCTCATACACCTGCCACTGCGACCACAACAGAAACAAAACATGCAGGGACTTTTCTTTACGTCAGTTCACCATGTTAGTGGTGTCCATGCGCGCGACGTAGGTAGGTCAGAAACGCACGCATTACATTTGTGCGACATTACCTGGATTTTCCCCGTAAGACATCATCTGTCTGCTGTCTTTGTTTTATGTTTTTGCTACAGCATTGCATTCTCATAAGATAAAGAGGTCGGCGTTTTTTGCGGTGATTAAACTCAAGTAACATGAACTGCAACAAGCGTAAACAGGAAGCATTCTGTTTGAGAAAACAAAAACTTCAAAAAGGCGGCATTCCTTCATCTCTAATGAACGTTTGTTCACGGACAATGATCTCAAAACTATAACTGGTGCGGGGGATGTACAAAATTTTACGGACGTCGGAAGTCACTACCTTCATGCCTGACTTCGAAAGCCAGTCCGCAAAAGTACCTTCATGAACACGATAACATCGCGGGAGTTTTGGATGCGTGCCTCAGGTTTTTAGGTTTAGAACTCATTGAATCATGACGTGCAAGTCACACATTTTGAGCTGAACCGACTACGGCTGCTTTGATTGCTCTCGAACTTTGACTTGTAACATTTCACGAAATTTTGGATATCCACCTTAGCTCTTCGATTTGTCATATGATTGGGTTATGGTCTACGAGTACGCAATCTTTGAGTTAAATCAGGAAGGTTCGCACTAACTGATTTCGAACCATGCCCTTTAATATATCGGGAAGTTTTCAATGTCCAAATTAGCATGCAGAGCATTCAAGTGCCTGTGCAGAGGTGTGCGAGTCTAAAAAACTTGAGCTCAATCAAAACCTTAGCTTGAACTTGCACCTTAAAAGTTTCGGGAGGCTTAGATGCTTACCTTAGCTTTTGTTATTTTCAAGTGTCTATGCTACGATGTATGAATCTAATTTTTGGGTCATTCAAAAGGGTCCGCCCCGAATGACCTTAAATTTGGACCTTTGATATCCCGGGAAGTTTTTGGACAGTGTTACGGCGCATAGGTCACGGTGCATACGTCTACAAATCTTAAACTTAATCGAAGGGGTGCGGCCCGCTTGTGCTTAGATCACTTAGAAAGTGGTCTAAAAAAATTGATAGACTTTTGCTCCAAATACCATCGTACAGTACCCATTTAGTTTTCTTGAAGTTTGGTTTCAAAACAAGAGGTGTTAACACACTGACATGCCAACAAAAGATGTCTATAATTCCATGTGTTCGCAATTCACTCAAAATGTCACGATTATTTTGACGTTCCAAAATCATAAATTTCCATTCGATTCGTTAAAGACAGGTCAAGTGAACACAATATAACAAAATATAAATTGCTGTTAAAAATCAAAGCCAATAGGTTCCACATAACCTCTAACGAGCGAGCGTTTAACGGATTTAGATATCATGTATATTTGCGCCGGTTTTGAAGAACAAACCTACCGCTACATATGCCCCTACATGGCAAGTTCTAAATAATTGTAAAACTACATCCCAAAAGTATATTCGTCCCGACAACTCTGCCATCTCGATAACTCAGTTGGTTAGAGCGCCCGCCCTCTGATCCACCCACCCGTGGCGGGGTGGGTTCCAATCGCTCTAGCCGCTCTAGGCGCTCGATGTTTGTCTTGTACAGGTATGGCCTGCGGCTGGTGGCAGTGGTGGCCAGCTGCCAGCGGTGCTTTTGGCTCAATGGCAGGTTCATTCCACGAAAGTAGCAAACAAAACATTTTTCTGCTTCACTTATAGACATTTATCAAAAGGCTGCGGATCCCCCCCCCCCCTCTTCCTTTTTCCCCAGGGCGCGTAATAATGCAGCACTCGCGACGCATTCGAAGCGCAAGCGCCAAGCTAACCCACTGCTGCTCCTTCCAATTATATCACATGAGCAATGTCGTCGCCTTAACTGGGTAACATACGCAGAGAACCGTGCTAATCCGACGCCGCGACATGTACAGAAGTGATCCGCTGATCAGTCCTGGACGGGGTGCCCACTCCGTGTGAGCCATGGCTGCACAGGCAGCCGGCGCCGACACCAAAGACGGTACCAGGAAATACCCAGCCGTACACGGTGAGCTGTGGCTCAAACCGTGCTAACGGGCGTCATGCAAATAGTGTTGCCGCATAACTTGTTGCAATGCAATCAACGGCATTTTGGTGCGGTGTTTTCCGCATGTTGGTTATATTTGTTGCAAGATAAGCATGTCGACTGAAGTTTTTGATACTTTAAAAGAAGCTTCAGAGACATCAGAGAGGGCGTTACACGGTCCAATCAGAGTGAGAGAGTGATCACGGCGAATCGGTCACGATACAGCCGTCCTCCCTGCCAGCGCAATGCTGACGAGTGCTGACGGTCAGATTCGTGTAGATTACACTCCCTTGTATCTTCACTAATGACAGGTGCGACGCAATACATACCCATTTCCGCTAATTACTTCGATGCTATCAATACTACATCAAGGTATCCATCATCGGTCATGAACATAACGCAACATAATCCTTAACTCAATTAAGTGCCCACACTATACATTCATCTATGATTTATTACGCTAGTCAATGCATATTCATATATCTAAAGAAAACTCGTCGGTCCAGGCGGCATTACACGTCCACATGATCTGACCATGGACGCCGCCGGCCGCGTCGTTGCCGCCCCGTCCTGGCCAACGCATACAGCCATGTCGGACTAGTCGCAACCGAAAGACATGTACAGCGATAACACGCGAAGACGAATACAAAGGTGAGCTCTCGACCACGTCGCTCGAGTTGGCGCTATCACATGCAGCCATCAATCAGGGCAGCGTCGCAGGCGGTGCCCATTGCTGCCTATTGCTGGGGTTAGCCGGCGCACATGCGTGTCGGCCGGCCCATAATGCGCCTCGCCCATACGCTGAGCGGGTCACACTGTTATTGCTTGAGCCGATGGATGCCGTCCCGTGGCATTCGTCTTTTGAAGGCGGCAACAAATACGTCCAGACCCATCATCACGCGCTGATGTGATGACCAGACCAGACCAGACCAGTGGCACGCCGCCGAAACAGACCAGACTAGATCAGACAGATCTGACTGGTGGCACACCGCCGGACCAGACCAGACCAGTGGCACATCGCCGGGCCAGACCAGACCAGTGGTACATCGCCAGACCAAACCAGGCCAGTGGCACATCGCCGGACCAGACCAGACCAGATCAGTGGCACATCGCCGGACCAGGCCAGATGGCACACCGCCGGACCAGATCAGACCGGTGACACACCGCTGGACCAGACCGCACTTCATGCGCCGGCCGGCACACTACTGTACGCAAACGGTGGCTGGTTACGCCGCCAGTGGACAGGCCGGACATTATCACAGCACCGTCAGCGATCACATTCCCGGCGCCGCGAGAGCCGCCCCCCGGCCCGGCCTCCTCCCCATCCCCGAGCACCGCTCCGGCTCGACAGTAACAAGTAAGCGAGACTAGTGTTCGCGCGTGCATGCAGCGACGGCTGCCGGCGAGGGAGCGCCAGGGAAGAGATGGCTGGAGACTTTCGCCCTCGGCCGGCGTGACTGGGGCCTAGGGAGCGAAACACCGACCAACAGACCGTCTGTCCGAGATCCAGACGTCCACACCACTAACAGGCTTCGGTGCTGCGATAAGTAGAAGGTGGCTGGCGAATCAGCTGTCAGCGAGGAGAGCAGGAGCCCGAAAACCGCGACCCACGAGAAAAGTCTACCGCGTGTCTAAGACTCACGGCCGGTAAATACCAGCGACCGCGGCCAGGCAGCTACCAAAAGGAGATCGTTGAACGCCATCCCAGGACGCTCGTGAGCTGGGCTGTCGCCGCCGGCCTACGAACGCTGCGACGTGACCACCCGTCCGCCGCCCGAGTACATGCCGTCAATGTTGTCACGCAGCAGGTTCAGCTGATCTGCAACACACCAGACGGCCGGTCACTGGCGCCAGCCGTGTGTCCGCGCGCGGCCGTCTATGGGCTCCGGGCAGCCGGTCGAGGTACATGCCCTCGTGGGCGGTCCCGAGGCGTCTCTCTGACGCGCGCCGGCCGGCAGTCCCGCACGGTCGGCCTCGCCGAACCCAGCCCCGTGGAACTGCGGACAGCGCTGTACCCCGCCGAACACACCCCTGCTGAATGCAGACAGTGCTTTACCCCGCCGAATACACCCCTGCCGAACTCGACAGCGCCGTACCCCGCCGAACACACCCCCGCTGAATCCAGACAGCACTGTATCCCGCCGAACACACCCCTGCCGAACTTCGGGCAGCGCTGTACCCTGCCGAATACACCCCTGCTGAATCCAGACAGCGCTGTACCCCGCCGAATACACCCCTGCTGGACTGCGGACAGCGCCGCACAGTTCCATCTAGTAGCGTGGGTGACGATTGCTTCCCCCATACTTGACCTACACTTCTGCTCCCTTCACTTTGCCTACGCCTGCTGAAGTTTGAGTTTTACCCAAACGACATTTACGGGACTCGCAGTTTAGCGTCCAGTTTTGAAGGCTGGTCTGGCCACGTGGCGATCGCTCAATCCCCTCGACTTAGACACGAGAGAGAGAGAGAGAGGGGGGGGGGGGGAGCAGGCGCTTGTGCTCACCTTGCCGCAGGTTGGCGATGGCGCTCTGTTTCCGCAGGAACTCCAGGCACAGCTCCCGCGGCAGACCCAGCGCGTACATGTTGTGGGTGAACGTGCTGAGGCGGACAGGCACGGTGGTCAGCGGATGAGTCGGTCTGCCGCGCCGCCGCCAGCCTCGCAGGCGGCCGGCGCCGCCGAGCACATCCAGCGCAGCGACCTTTTAAGGGCGGCGCGTAAAAACACCAGCCGCCGCTAGACAGTGGATCGGGTTCGCGTTTATATCACAGACCCAACACCGTGAAGAAGCACTTACAGCTGTGATAACAAATGGAAAACAGGCACGGGGTCAGCAAAAACTATCTCATTTCTCCGGCATTCTTGTTTCCAGGACAAACACGTCCTGACAGTCAAACATGTGATTTATGCGTGTATCGTGGGAAAGGAGTAGGACCAATGGATCCCCAGCTGGCTTGCAATGCTGCCTTGCTATCCAATAACACACAGACATGGCTTTGTACAACAGGAAAGGAAGACAAAATGTAGCGTCTCAAAACTGTAAACATCACATCACAACACAGGATATTCGCATACAAATGACCAGAGCTGAGCATTACGATACCCAGCATTCGAGCTGGCCCCGTAGGCGTGAAACCACTTCATTACGAACGTGCTACAGAAATGCGTTCCGTCGTGACAATGACGCATGCACAGAAAACTGTGGATCTTAAGTTCAAGTTACTTGGTGGTGGATTCTGAAAGTTTTCCTGAGCGCTTCAACTGTGCCATTTCTTGAACTACGAGTGATAAAACGCATAGAACATCGAGAGTAAAGCAATGGTCATATTCTAGAAGAATCCCAACGCGAACGGCAGCATGATATACAAATAATAACTAGCATTCCGTCAAAGTTGCGTTCCTCTTTTGGATCTACAAGTCTCCTTCCCCTCCCCCTCCGAAGGCGTACCCTCCCTCTTGACGCCCAGAAAGGCGCAAAATGTGCTCTGTCAGGTACCATCGACTTCGACGAGAACCAGGTTTTTCGAGGGTTGGGGGCAAAGTTGGTTCCAGTCCAGAAGGCCAGCCACCGCTAATGCAGCCAGGCGCCCCCTCCACCCCAACCGTCTTCCCGCTCTCGAGTGACGCGGGTCATGCCACCTGGCCGGCGACACACTGACCCCAGCTGGCCAAAGGTGATGTTCTGCTGATAGCTGACGTCGTCGGCCGGGGCTGTGACGTCGCCGTCGGCCAGCTGCTGCCGCGTCGGCACCGGCCGGTTGGACCGCTCCGTCTGCGAACCACGGCAAGCCGCTGCACCGGCCGACACGTCTACGGCACCGCGCCGCACCTGTACTCTGCCAACAGCGGTCCGCCGCCGCACCACCGTCCCAGGTGTAGCCCCACCACGTAAGCGTGGTCAAAAGGCGCCAACCCAGCCCACCAGCCCAGACGCCTTACCTGCTCTTCCTGCGGCTACGGCTGGGCGCAGGCATCTGACCTGTCCAACATTCACCTCCGGACTCTCAGGTTACAGTAGTAACTGATGCCGCCGAAAGGTTTAACCAGCCACAGGCGCAGGCGTGAGAGGGTGGCATCATGATCCGGTGACCGAGTCAGCCCGAGCTCACAGCCGTCTACACTGATCCGCAGCCGAGCGTCCTACCCTGTGGTACTACCTCCAATAAAAATAGCATGTAGTCAACCGTCCAATGCCAACCTCTGACACTCGCGACAACTGGCCCTGAGGTCGCGGGGACCGGGAGGAGCGTCTCCTGGGGTCCCCGCCACTGCCACACTACGAGAGGACGGGACGCTTACCTGGAGCGTCTCCTGGGGTCCCCGCCACTCCCACACTACGAGAGGACGGGACGCCTTACCTGGAGCGTTCTCCTGGGGTCCCCGCCACTCCCACACTACGAGAGGACGGGACGCTTACCTGGAGCGTCTCCTGGGGTCCCCGCCACTGCCACACTACGAGAGGACGGGACGCTTACCTGGAGCGTCTCCTGGGGTCCCCGCCACTCCCACACTACGAGAGGACGGGACGCTTACCTGGAGCGTCTCCTGGGGTCCCCGCCACTCCCACACTACGAGAGGACGGGACGCTTACCTGGAGCGTCTCCTGGGGTCCCCAACACTGCCACACCACCGGAGGATGGAACGCTTACCTGGAGCGTCTCTTGGGGTCCCCATTACTGCCACACCACCGGAGGATGGAACGCTTACCTGGAGCGTCTCCTGGGGTCCCCATTACTGCCACACCACCGGAGGATGGAACGCTTACCTGGAGCGTCTCCTGGGGTCCCCGCCACTCCCACACTACGAGAGGACGGGACGCTTACCTGGAGCGTCTCCTGGGGTCCCCAACACTGCCACACCACCGGAGGATGGAACGCTTACCTGGAGCGTCTCCTGGGGTCCCCATTACTGCCATACCACCGGAGGATGGAACGCTTACCTGGAGCGTCTCCTGGGGTCCCCACCACTCCCACACCACGGGAGGACGGGACGATTACCTGGAGCGTCTCCTGGGGTCCCCATTACTGCCACACCATGGGAGGACAGGATGATTATCAGGAGCGTCTCCCAGAGTCCCCACCACTGCCACAGCACCGCTTACCTGGAGCGCATCAAAGAAGGCGGCGTTCCAGAACCGGATGCTCCGCCAAATGGCCTGCTGGCCCAGCAGCTCGTGGAGGTACTGCTTCCTTGCCGGATCGTTCCCAACTGGAACAGCGGTGCGCAACATCATCGCCCAAGCACCTCTGACGGTTCCCCATACACGAGGGAGAGGGGAGCTAATCTGCTGTACATTTAAAGTTAGTATATTACAACGATAAAACCACTCGGGCGAAATAAAACAATGACGATGAGGACCGTCCTGCATACGTTTAACGTGCCATCCATCTTGAAGTGTCGGAAGGGGAACGGCTACCACCCGTAAGCCCCTACGCCAGTCGTTCGACGATACTGAACCAATGAGACTTGTAATGAGGTTGGCATTAGACCCAGTAACATCTAGCTTCATCACCCGACAGACGATCTCCGCCTGCGGGCAGGCTGCTTCCCCTGAGCAACACCTCGACTCCCGGACGGCTCACTATCACGACACGAGGCGCTCAGGGCGCGCACAGCTGCCGAGGTGGCGGGTGTGACCCGACACCAGCTCGGGACATCACCTCGGATCACTCTGAAGGGCGGAGCACTCCCAAATTCCACCACCTCTGATCAGCCGACTACCCCAAGTCACCACCGCCCTGAACTGGAAACTCCACAGCCGGCTGCACTCCGGTCGGAGCGCAGAAGCCATCGATGGGAGGACACCTGAGCCAATGGAGACTTCCGCTGTGAGCATCCGCTGCGCGCGGCAGTCACGCAGGCGCGTACAGGAGTAGAGCCGCTTGCTCCGCTGCCGCTGCCACGAGCTAGCTCTATCCTGAGTCACGGCGGCGGCTCGAGCTGAACTGAGCGCGCACGGATCGCCTCGCCACCAAGATTGTTTCGGGTGGCCCCTGCAGCGATTCGCCGTCCACCAGAACAGGGCGAGGTGTTCGGGTCGGTCCGGACCCCAGCCGGCCACAGCGCCGACCGGGGCAGGGGCCCGTACGGTGGGCGTGGTCACCATCGGCATGGCCATAATGTACGTAACATTGCATATTACTGTCGCGGGGTAACCCGCTGTTACAGTGGCTATCAATCCCTGAGTCACATATAGGCAATAAAGTATAGAGTCACCACATGGCTCACGTGCACGTTCAGTCGTGCAGTTCAAGTACATCTAACTCACATGCGCGTACGAACAAACGATGATTTCGTGGACTCCCGGCAGCGGCCTATTTCGGAGGCCCAACTGGCATATGGCGCATAAGATGTGAAGCATATATATATATATATATATATATATATATATATATATATATATATATATATATATATATATATATGCCGACCCACGTGCGCCTCTGCAAACGGCCGGTATTGCAGGCAACGGCAACCTCGGAATGTGACCTGTGACTGGCAAATGGCGTACTATTCTGCTTTATTGAATTACATGATTTTGTAAATCGGCATTCACTGACGACCGCCTATGATGCACGTGACCTGACGTCGGTGGCCGTGCTCACCGACTGACGGCAGTCGGGTGCCCACCCATGCCCGCCGGGGACTCGCCGCCCGACCGCCGTGTCCTGACCACCAGCCGAGCTCCCAATTACCGGTTCACTGCTGACTGACATGCCGTCACAGGCACTGTGAATGGGCCGTGCATGCGCGCAGCACAGCGCGTCCGCTCCGGCCGCCGGTCGTGCGGCCGACACGGTCCGACAGAAGGCCAGTCACCCGCCCGCTACGCCGGTCGGGTCGGCTCTCAGTGTAGCGAGTCGTACGGACTGATGACACGATCCTGTACCGGCGCAATTAAAGGCCGGCCGCGGCAGATGGGCCGTGTGGACGAAGGCCGGTGCCGGTTGGGGGAGCCGGTGCCGCAGGGGCCGCTCGCACCCGTCCGTGGGTAGTGAGCCGGCGCCGCAGAGGCCGCTCGCTCCCGTCCGCGGGTGGGGAGCCGGCGCCGCTGGGGCCGCTCGCACCCATCAGCGGGTAGTGAGCCGGCGCCGCAGGGGCCGCTCGCTCCCGTCGGCGGGTGGGGAGTCGGCGCCGCTGGGGCCGCTCGCACCCGTCCGCGGGTAGTGAGCCGGCGCCGCAGAGGCCACTCTGATGTGAGCCAAACCATTAGCTGACACCGATGCACTCGACCCGCTCTTGTCCATTTAGCGGCCGAAATGCTTAACACACCTCTTGATAGGCTACACGTACCTGACACGAATGATTCAGCCTCGTGCTCTTTCCCCTTCTTCCTTTATCGCTTTGGATTTATGACCAACGAGATCCCGTGCAACTGATCCCACAATAGGCTGCCTTATCGGGCATAAGCCGGGTGCAGAGCTCTCAAGAGCAGTCCCAGGAAAGCCTTCTCACGACTCAGGATACGGCTGAACCTTTTGTCAGATTTACGGGAATGCGGCAACATGCTCCGTCCATCTTTTTTTAGGAAGAATTTCTTCAGTCAGTTCGGATAAGGAACGCAGTATATTGACCGCAGAAAGCCAGGAGACTGCTACGGAGCTTGCGTTGACAACAATTTTTGGGAACGTATTATTGTTATTATGTGCGTATATCAGTCGCCTAAGTCGACTGCTGATAACCCATAAAATATGCCAGGGAACTAGATAACCATGACACCTACTTATCCCAATAAAACCGTAAGGCAACACGAACACCGGCACTCCATAACGCTCCCTAACTTTACGCACCCCTGAACCGTTCACGCATATGTATGTGTTCGGCCGGCGAGCAGCGTTCCAGCCGTGCGCAGCCGGCCGCCGTACCTCTGTGGTAGAAGGTGAAGCACATGTTCATCAGGGACTTGGCCGGGCCGAAGTCTTCGGCCTGAGCGCACTCGAACAGCGCCAGCGCGAAGTACTGCACCAGCGAGTAGAAGGTCGACTCGCCGACGCAGCGGTGCCGGCCGCGCTGGTGGTTCACGAAGCGGGCGAACCAGGCGCGGCCCGGCTCCGTCTGCCGGCGCGGGTAGGGACGTCACGGCACGTCACGGCACGGTACGGCACAGCACGGCACGGCACGGCATCCCGCGCGGGGCCGTCAGGCCCCAGCTGCAGGACCCTATACTGACAGTTGTGACAACGCAACGGTGGGATGCTTTGAGAGGCACAACGAAAGCAACGAACTGCATTTGTTCTCAATCGCAAGTGCGTCTCAGAAAGAACTCACTTGCACAACTCCGACACACGACCGGCAACTCAGCACGGGAGTTCGCCACGCGCAGCCCAGTGTACCAGCGGCAGTCAGACGCCGGCCGGGCGGGATCGGCTGCCAAACGCCCGCCGCCACCGCCAACCCACGTCCCGTACATCGGCAGCGGCCGGCGGCGTCACCGCAGCGACACCGCGCGCTCCCAGCCTCACGCCGTTCCGGCGCCACAATCACCTGCAGGAGCTGGCCGAACTTGGCCTTGTCCTCCAGCGTGATGTCGCACGACCTGCTGAACAGCTGCTGCACGAACTGCTGCATGTAGGCGCGGCTGTCGGAGGCGGCCGCGTCGGCGCCGCTGTCGCCGCTCAGGTCCGACGAGACCGACCGCAGCGAGCCCTCAGAGTCTGGCGGCGCAGCGACAGCGTCAATCTGACATCAGAGAGCGGGTGGCGCGCATAGCAGCGGCAGCACATAGGTGGCATACCTGGCATTCGAATGTCCTTGGACCTAGAGGTATTTACCACCTATCGCGATTCTGGTGCGCATTTAGAGTTAACAACCGGACAAGGGCAATATGTAAAGCGGCGTGATATAACGTGATTACGACTTGCTTTTCGAATAGCGACACGTCCAGTTCACGTTAGGATGGAATGAGTGGCACTCGACCCACCGCATCACGAGTAAAGAGAGCGACGACCAGCGTCGTTAGGCATCCAAGACGACACCCGGAGCGCCACGCGTCTGATCCAGTCATCGGGCATGACTGTTGATCTGTCTGTGGTTTTCTGACCTGTCATTCCAAGCTGACTGTTTGGGACGCCAGCCTTTCAACACATGCACGTAAGGGCGGTCCAGAGACGTGAGAAGACGGCGAACACCCCCCACAACTGTTGATCCAGATGAGCTCCACGGCGTCGCGGTAACGGCATGCTCGAGAGGGGTGGGGGGTAAGGAGGGCGGTTGGCAACAAAACAAGCCGCGGCGGAAGCATTTTGCTGCGCACGCTACAGCCTCTAGCGTACGGTACCTTCGGCACGAATGTATGTTGCCCTTTCGCCGCCTCGCATTGCTTTCAGCCAACAACAGCAGCCAATAATGAATGCAGCGTTCCGGACATCCGCTTTCGCAGCAAGCATTTTACTGGACGATGCAACAAATATCGTGTTACAAAAGCAGCAAGCCGCGCCTGCATTAATGCCCATTTCTCATCGATAATGGCGGGTCGGGTCTAGGTGGGGGCATTCTCCGTCGCGTGTTCTGAGGCTATAAATTGTGCCCCGAGCTGGGTGTGTCGTAGCTCAGTACCACGGGGTGACGAGCCATGCATGAGAACATGATTGCGGGACGAATTCTACGGATTTACGTACACATTTTTTTAAATATCGCAATTTTAACTTTTCACTGGGCCTAGATAGGGGACAAAGTGACCCTTACAGGCGGCTAAAGTCAAATGTAAAACCTTCGAACGGCTGCAGACTGCGTAGCGGTAAACGGAGGAATACTGCAACTCTTGAAATGTGGGCGACATGTTGTAACTCGATATCAGAAGCAGTGTGCTTTTCTTACGACAGTGATACGTCCGCCATAGTCGCACAGGTGGTGTAATGGCTTTCAGTTAGCTACTTCACTTCTACATAATAAACGAAGTTGCAATATTTCACGTGTGTTCAACTAATCGTAAAGTTAACCCGACCTAGATGCAACGGAGGTTTGCCTGTGCCGCTGTCCGTGTCCAGCGCAGCCTGTTAAGCTGAGTACCTTTCATGTCAACCGTCGTTTTTTCTGCGGTCCCGGCATAAGTGGCCGTTGTTAGATGGCGTCTCAACGTGTAGCTGGTCCCTGTATGACATGGAGCTGGCTATACCTCCAGCCTGTTCTTTTCTTCGTGGGATGATGATGACAAGATGATGACACTGGAATTATCGGTCGGATTTTGGTGCCATAGTTTGTGCAATGGGCCACCCTGATTACCCCGTATTCCTGCAATAGCGGATTGTGGTGTTTCACAACGATATTACGCCTCAACTTCGTCACACCCCTGTGACTATAGCCGTTCGGGAACCACTGAGGTACTGAATCACGGATACTTCATGGCTTCTTGGTTCCCAACTAACTCAATTCTTCATTTTTGAAAGTTTACAATCCCTATACTGCTGGATCTTGCTACATGCTATGGCGCTGTCATCACCATCATTCTAACTTCACCAGGACCTCGATAAGACACCTGTCGTTGATTCGCTGATACAAGCAGCGTAGCCAATGCCGGTGGAGTCCCCACGCCACCGAGCTAACCCGGCTGGAGCCCACACACGACCTAAACAGCGCTCACACAGCACCTCGGCGACCCGACCGGGGCCGGCGCAGCAGCGCGGCCGAGTGACCAGCGCCGACACAGGCCAAGGGCGGCCGCACCGCCGGCCAGGCCGCTCACCGCACATGGCTGGGGGAGGACGACGGAGACGGGCGGCGCACTGCGCCGGCGGCCGCCCGGGCGCGCCGGCCGCGGGCCGTATCGGCCGCCGCCCAGATAACACCACCCGGAACCGGCGGCAGCTGGCCGGCCCCACGCCGGCGCCGACGCCGCGCTGGCCGACGGCACACGCGGCACGTGCAGATACCACGGGCGGGCACGGCGGCCATACGCCCAAGCCCCTGACAGACTGCGAGCATGGCGCCGTTGCTGTCATAGACTGGTGCCGGAGACGCACACGGGAAGCCTGTGATATCACAGACAGCTGCGGCGCGCCGGCCATTCTCCGGGGGCCCGGCACGACGGCTGGACGACGGCTGATGACGCCCACCATGCCGGTGATGTTATTTTCATTCTCTTTCTTAGAGCTCTCAAGTGAGGCACCTTCGCATACCTCACCTGAGGTGACCCAGGGCCGCAGCACCAGCTCCAGACTGGTGCTGGGGCGTCTTCAGAGACCGCACATGCCTTACCTGAGGTAACCCAGGGCCGCCGCCCGCCGTCGGACAGCTCCAGACTGGTGCTGGGGCGTCTTCAGAGACCGCACATGCCTTACCTGATGTGACCCAGGGCCGCCGCCCGCCGTCGGACAGCTCCAGACTGGTGCTGGGGCCATAACCGTCTGCATCGCTGGTCGAGTCCGAGGTGGCCACGTCTGCAACAACCGACAGGGACTGCAAGCGCGGAGGGCGACGGCAGGCAAAGCATACATTGTTTCCCACAGCGCAGGACACTCAGGCAAGCAACAGCCTCGTGCCCGACAACGACAGCGAAATAAGCGGAAGTTGCGGTTCGAATGTGCTATCACATGACCTCAGAGACAGGCACGGGTTACCATAGGTCTTGAGCTTTATGATATCCTGGAACCGTCCATGGGATCCCGGCACGTGTCCACTCAGAGGCCCTTTCGTCCATATCAACTCATAATGTATTCTAGCGTATGCTGATGTTCATGTAAGCTTCCAGATGGATACGATACAAAAACAAGGCATCATATCATTAGTTACCCATGCACTAAGTTTGGCAAGACCGTTCTTGGTCAAGTCAATAAATATTCTTATACTGCATGCTAATGAAGGTTCATGAATTTTCACCGCCAATTCATAGCTCGGCAGGCGATGTATTAAGAGAGTCGGCCGGCACCGCCAGCTGGCGCCAAGCCTGCCGGCCCGGCGCCGCGTCCGAGCGGTCCGAGCCGTCCGAGCGGTTGGATTCACCCGAACAGATCGAGCAGTCCGAGCAGTCTGAGCGGTCAGAGCCATCCGAGCGGTCCGAGCAGTCCAAGCGGTCAGTCATCCGAGCAGTCCGAGCAGTCCGAGTGGTCCGAGCCGTCCGAATGGCCGAAGTCACCCGAGCAGTCCTAGCCGCCCGAGCAGTCCGAGCGGTCAGAGTCACCCGAGCAGTCCGAGCAGTCCGAGCGGTCAGAGTCCCCCGAGCGGTCCGAGCGGTCCGAGCGGTCCGAGCAGTCCGAGCAGCCCGAGTGGTCGGAGTCACCCGAACAGTCCGAGCGGTCAGAGTCACCCGAGCACTCCGAGCAGTCCGAGTGGTCTGAGCGGTCAGAGTCACCCGAACAGTCCGAGCAGCCCGAGCAGTCCGAGCGGTCAGTCACCCGAGCAGCTCGAGCAGTCCGAGCGGTCGACGTTACCCGAGCGGTCGGAGTCATCCGAGCGGTCCAGGCGGTCCGAGCGGTCCGAGCGGTCCGTGTGGTCCGAGTGGTCCGTGTGGTCCGTGCGGTACGAGTGGTCCGTGCGGTCCGAGTGGCCCGAGCAGTCCGAGTCATCCGTGCAATCCAGGTCACCCGTGCAGTCCGAGTCACCAGAGCGGTTCGAGAGGTCCGAGTGGTCTGACCGGTCCGAGCGGTCTGCCGCGCCGCTCACCCGACAGCCGGCCGTGCAGCTTGTCGAAGGGGTCGGGCCCGCAGGCGACCAGCGGACGGTCAGCCGACCAGCGCGAGCCCGAGCTGCCGCTGGCCAGACTCTCGGCCGAGCCGGCCGAGCGGGGCCCGACTGGCGCCGGCTTCCGTGTCGGTCCCGGCCGCGCCGGCGCCGCTGCTCGCGCCTGAGAACAGGTCCGGCAGGAGCTGTCAGGGAGGCAGACGGCCAGTCACATGGCCACACGAGACGCCCACTCAGACAGCACCGCTGGTAAGCCGCTGTCAACACGCCTGTGGTCGCTCTGGCGAAGCGATCCACCGGCTTCTACTGCCATCTGTCGGGCGAGCCTTTAGCGTTAGTACCTGTATCCCAATATTCCAAAAGCAGGCCCATCGAACTAAAACCGAAGGTCATAGCAGAAAGGCGTTTTTCATGCTTGCGTCCAGTGGGCAAGTTCCAGATGATTGACGAGCTAATTCTTCGATAAATCTGTGTCAGCTTTCTTCCGAACCAGAAGCTCCGATCACATGCCTCCTTTGAAACCAATACAACCGTACCATATGCCAACAGTCCACACCTCTCGGCCCCCTCTCCCCCCCCCCCCCTACCCCGTCAGTCTCCCAGCTTTCTCGCCGCTGACGTCACTATCTTCGCCGCTGCTGAGACCGAGTGACGTCACTGTCCGGCGCCGCTGCTGAGGCCGTGTGAGGCCGCTGTCCAGAGCCACCGCCGCGGCTCTGGACCGCGCAGTCTCACCTGCAGTGCCGCCGCTGACGTCACTGTCGGCGTCGCTGCTGAGGCCGTGTGACGTCACCGCCGCGGCTCTGGACCGCGCAGTCTCACCTGCGGTGCCGCCGCTGACGTCACTGTCGGCGCCGCTGCTGAGGCTGAGCGCCGTCTCGAGCCGGGCCGAGATGCCGTGCATGAGCCGGTCGCTGCCGTCCACCATGGAGCGCAGCCGAGAGCGCAGCACGCCCTGGGTGCGGCCGGCCAGGCCCCGTGCCACCGCCGAACCGCGCACCAGGTCCACCATGGCGCGGGGGCGGGTCGGCCCCACTCAGTCTGCAGCTGACACCTGCTGTCAGCTGTGACATCTGGGTGTATTGGGGGTGGCAGGCTTGTCTTTTAAACACATTGTGATGTGGTCTCAGACATTGCAGTAAAGGAGGAGGCAGAGTTATATAGAAATATGCTTGGGCTGGAATAGGAGGTGATTGGTGGGATAACAGCAGTTTTTGAGAAGCAGTGACAAATATGCTTGACTCTGCACCTCTTGCACTTAGAAGGTTATGTTCACTTCAAATATATTCAAGCTGCAGATGCTGATGCAAACTGCACACCTGAAGAATACATTGTTGTGCATGTTATTTAGGTTCATGAAAGTCATGTAGCAGGTACTTACTTTCCCAAACTTTTGTAACCAGAATAAAGTCCACCAGAACTGATTCCAGAATTGAACTGCATCACTTTAAGTCAAAAGCAGCACTGACTCAGAGTGGCACTGAAATGTTTAGAGTAAGAGTGAAATTCAACAGCACACATTGTGAGTCAGTTACCACTAATTACCACCAAAGGAGAATCTGGCACAGGTGTGCACAGTAGAACAGAACCATGGATTTCTTTAACCCATGTATCTCTTCACAAATTTAGGGCTGTGTGGTGCAGTTGCATACACCACACATCAGTGTTCACAAGCCTTGGATTCTAAACAAATACAACTGATCCATTACAAATGGCTCAAGACCAGCAGAAAGGTGTTTAATAGCCCTAACATATAAAATGTTTAAAGAACTCTTAATTCTTTAAAAATATCATTGCAATATTCTGCCTCCTAAATAGTGCAGCCAGCACAGGAAAATGACATATATGATCTATAAATCACATGATAGCAACACACAGCTACCATACAGTCAAACTAAATGCACAATAACTGTCAAAACAGTTATCAGCCATATGCTCCATCTAGTCACTGACCAGACCAAACAAGAATAGCACAGGCTGATGGATGGTGATAGCAAGCTTGTGCTGATCTAACCAGACTGAAGCAATACATGAACTGATATATGGTTAGCTCTAGTTAAACATGCATGGACCAGCAAAAATACTTATAAGCAGCATGCAAAAAAGTTAAGCCAGGTTCAGTCAGCTTATTGTATCATGCACCAATTGTATTTGTACTGCCTATTTGCTTAACACCCTGTCATGTTTTTGCAGTCTCCTGTTTAATACAGAATTCACAGTATGGTACAACCATAATGCCTTAGTATCATAGCCATATGAACAACTTGAGATCAAATGTTGGGAAAAATACTATTTGAGGCTTCATTCTTTCCATTTCTCTTCATTCACAAGTGTATTTTTGAAACTTAATAGTATGTAAAAACATATACAAGACAACAGCAATACAAAACTGGTTGCATATATGACCCTGGCTGTGTATTTTAGCCACAGGGCTGCCACAATGGGATAAAGAAAAATAGCAAAGTAATATTAGCATACTCTTTATTGTAATGCTGGCCAGTCATCACAGGGATCTATTTGTAATCAAGCATTGCCATTGTCATAAGGGCTCTCCACACACTCCGCCACTGAGGATATATGGCATCACCTGCCACTAACCCTAGCAGGAAGTGAGGGCACCATGGGGAATTGGACCCTGTACCTCTGGTTTCTCACATGAGTGGTGGTTAATGCACACATTCACCACTCCACATCAGGACCCCACTTGAAATCCGCATTTTTTCCTGCATTTATTTAGAGCCTCTTTTCAAGAGACATATAGCCACCAAAAGGAAAAGAAACAACCATCCGGAACTCCATATCAATTCGACATGGGTCTAACGTGGATCAAATGATCAATCATGACCGGCTTACCTCCCTCGTACCAAAACTAAATTCCTTGAATGAATTCTAAATAGGAATTGAGATGAGGAGACATAGCTGAAACCAAAAGATTAGGAATGAAATAGCGTTACGAGTTTTCCCGGCCACCTCCAAAGGCGTCAACTACATATAATATGACGTCCTATTCCATAACGCACGCAGGCCCGTCCCTGGGCTTTTCCGGCGTCCAGTACAAGTTTTTTTCCGGTTGAAAAAATCGCCATCTCTGGCAGAAATGTGCTGCAAAGCTACCAAATTAAAGAAGTTTTCTTACTGCGCGCCTATGCAACCACTGACGCACACAAACTCAAAGCACGTGGTTAGAGGGGGTCCAATGGTGGTAATCTAACCATGGCCGCGCACCTAAAAGTACCTTAAGTTTGACAATTCGCTTGCCTTGCTCAGCATCGCTACCTTCGAGCAGACGTATAGAACTCCTACTACTTGTTGCCATGGCGCCCTTCCGCTGTTGTAGTGCCTTGACTGCCACCCATCGCCCCCTCGTCGTTTTTGTTGTTTACGTTTAGTATTTCGCGGGCCTAGAAGCCCAGCGAGAAAAAAAATTGTGATGAGGTAGTTTTGCGACAGATTTTCTACACTGGTGCCGTTTTTATATGTGCAGGGACGGAGACGCGACTCGGGGCATGGCGTTACTTGCAAACCGTTGAGGTTTTGAAATGTTTTTTGTGATATTTGATCTGGCATAAGCTCGCCATGTTCTCAAAGATACAGGCTATTAGCATCAACCATGTTGAATCTAGTGACACAAGTATTTTAGTCATCCACTTCACAGTCCCGGAGCGCGTCGCTATCATAAAGTTTCGTCAGTAGTTTAGTCCCTACCCTGGCTGCAACATTCCAGTCCAGACGCGCCAATCTCGTCTATTGCCTATGGCTATAGAGCCGCACCCGCTCGGCGTTGTCGTTAATTCTGCGCCTTATCGTGGATGACATTAGTGCTGGAGGAAACATTTCATTCTCAAACTGCGCTGTTCTCCGTTTTCCGCCAGTGATATCCGCCGTCTTCAAGGGCGGTGCTTATTTCTCTTCATCTCAGTTGCTGTTTTTGGGTTTAACTTTTGCTTAAGAGATTGGTAGGCAGTATCGAAGTACAAAACAGAAGTACCCGAGCATTGAATTTGGCCATACCTGTGATACCTCTGTATGGCGCTGGAAGATCAAGATTCTTATGCTTTGATAATGCAGATGTCTGTGTTTTATTGACACTGCTCTAGTTGGCCAACAACTGGCCAGTGATTCTTGAAGCAAGGAGTTGTTGTTGGTTGCAATGTTTTGGCAGCTGTATTTGGCATGCTTGTGTCTGTTGGTGATCCCCAGTTATTCTGGTAAGTAGGTGCATGCTCTCACCTTATGTGTCCATAAGAAATAAAATAACTGATCTAGTCAACTGATCACCTATGAAAGTTCAAGCTCATAATGCTGTGTGTGTGTGCATGTGTATGAAGGGATATTGATGTAAGATAGCTCTTATTATGAGAAATATGAAGTCTGGTTTAACTCAGTTTGAAGTATTTTGGCATCAAAATATTCCCACAAGCAATATTATCCTTAGTGATTTACCCATGTGGCCAGGATGTGAAGACCACCCTGACTTAATTTCATTATTTGCAGATGTTTGTGACAATCCATTAATGGAAGGTGCAGAGCTTACGGCCACTTCAGAGCTTCATGGCAAGGAAGCGAAGTATGCCAGGCTGAATGGTAAGATTGAGTTATGTGTCATAGATTGTATGCACCAGCAGAAATTCAGTAGAGATCTCCATAGTGGTGATAATTGACAAGATTGGTATCATGGATTGGCATGTTATGGCAGATGTTTATTTTTATCCTCCTGTGTGGCCACACTTTGTGGTGACTACTGTGTTGGCCCAGTAAAGAAGTAAAATATGGGATGAGCCATGATTATGAAATATATATATAACTGTTGTAGCATAAGGCTTGTGTCTTGCTGTCATGATAATGGAATCATACATTTTGGTTTTGAATTGCTGGTGCAAGGTGGTAATTTTAACTTAAGTACCAGACTGTTGGGATCTAAACATAAAACTGACAGAAAAATTTATCAGTGTATGAATAAATGCCTACATTTGCAAAAGTTTGAGTAAAACAAATTTCAAAAGTGAGAACAAAGGTGATTACAGATATCTATCTGTCTATCTATCTATCTGTCTATCTATCTATCTATCTATCTATCTATATATGTATATATATATATATATATATATATATATATATTAGTACAGTATTGGGAAATAGTCATTTTGACTATAAAGTGGCATCTTGCACTTGTTGAAAACAACCCTGAATTCTTTATATATATCCTGATCATAACCAAACCAAAGGCATGGCAGCAGCAAACCAGCATACTGTAACAATGCACAACCCACACTTAAGCATTTCCATGCATGCATAATACTGTCACAAACCAATTCATCCTGCCATCTACTCCTTGATATACAAAGATTTGAATATGTATTAGCCCAAATTCTGAGTTACCAGCATCATGTCAACATTCAGAAATAATCAGTAGATATAGTGGTAGAAGATATGGCAGTTATTAGAAGATTCAGCTATTGACTTCATGTTTTGATGACCTCCAACAAACAATAAGGGATCAATTGCTGGACTGAAATCAGGAGCTGCTACATGCAAGGCAGAGAAACCATTGGCAGTTTGACAAGGAAAACATTGTGTCAGTGATAGTGTCATGCCTTTATGTACTTATCCTCTGCTAAGTGTACTGAAAATGCATTCTTTAAGATTAGACAGTTTTGGGGAGTATCATTCATCAAGCAGATATTTATTTAGGACATTATGTTCAGATGTGACAACATTGTTGTGAAATTATCCCAAATCTCAGATTTTTTCGGGCACTATTTATGTGGAAAAATGGCCTTTTTGTGCCATGTTCCTGGATGACTGATTTAGACAGATTTTCCCACCATGTGTTATAAAAGCTTGTTGGGTGTGCTTGCAACTTGTCCCCAATGCTTTGCAAAGTGAAGGTTAATAATGGTGTACTGAATGTTGTGAATGTTGCGCTTTTGTTGGACTCAAAAGCCACAAAATGAGTGAACAAATCTACCCCTGCCTATCACACAGTCACCTATCAAAATGTCATCTAAGGTGCTATCTTATATAGTATTTATCTTAATGTAAACTAGTCATTTTAACCACAGCATGATTGCCAGCTTGGAGCAGTTGGCTGCGCATTCGTGCGATGTCGGTGCGCGCTCGCGACCTGTGGCGCCCGGCGCGCCGTCCCGGGCGCCCCATTATACCGTTCCTCGCCGCGGGCGTATCGACCGGCGGGCGCGGTCCCGACGGTGACGGGGACGTGACGGGCGGTGCCGGCCGGCGCCCAGCACCGCCGACGCCGCCGGCTCCTCCGTGATCGAGCCTCTCGTCACGGGCGCGAGCGACGGCGGCCGGCCGCGGCGCGACTCTCTGCACAGGTCACAGCCGCGGCGCGCCTCTGCGTGGCAGCTTCAGTGTGCGGGTCGTGCCCTGGAACGCGGCTGGTAGACAGGGAAGAATGGGGGTGGGAGGAGGGTCAGAAAGGAAGAGCATATCGCGTTGCCCCCTGTCTTGGGCTTCAAGCTGCATTGCAGCGAACATACCGACGTTCTGTTGTTTCGCTATTTACCTTGTGAAGCGCCTCGTACAAAGCGGACGCTGCGGAATCGGCCCACGTCTCAAGTCCGGGTGTCAGTGTGTCTCCATCAGCAGATATCATGTCGCCATTAACCTGTGACCTATCCTCGGTGACCCGCCCGGTGGGTCACTTGATTCGTGTAGCCGCTACGAACCCTCGGCGGCCTCACCGTGGCAGCGCAGCCGGTTACAGTGCACCCGTTACCAGGGGCCTGCGTTCAAGGGCCCAGCTCGCTGGTGACCTGCCATGCCGGGCTCTCCACAGCGGCGCAGGCGCCGGGGACGCGCCCTGCCACTCCCGTCCCCAGCAATGACCGGCCGTGATGGTCGTGCACGCGCCGCATTGGTGGGCCTGTGATGCGCCCGCATGTGCCCTGTGCTGTGAATGTCGTCCAATGCTGTGCTGTGTGGGCAAAGCCGTGGACGCTTACCTGCCCTTAGTTTTGAAAAGCATGTGGCATTGTTGCGCTGTTGTGTTTTTGCCTCTCTGAGCTTTGGGTGTTCCTTTGGCACTGAATTTGAATGATTGTGCATGTAGCAGGGTGTCGTTTTCCACTTGAGAAAGGCGACTCCTTCCATTGTTTCTAAAGCACAGTATCCATTGCGCTGCTAAGTAAACAACGTTAGAACCGTGCATTGTGGGGCCGCTGGGGGTCCCCCCCCCCCCCCCCTCTATAACTCAATGGAAGGCGACACCGCTGCGACTCGGCCGTGTTCCGGAGCTCCCGCATGCGGCACGATCGTCGCTCTCGGCACGTGTCGCCGCCCGACCCGGCCGCTGGCTCTGCGCGCAGGCGACAGTGCGTGGACGGCGCGCGTCTCGAACGTCGGCCAGAGCCTGACGGTGGACCTGAACGACGTGTACCAGATCACGCGCATCGCCACGCAGGGCCGCTCCGCCTCCGAGGAGTGGGTGCGCCAGTACAGTCTGGCGTACGGCTTCAACGGCCGCGACTTCATGGACTACCGCGGCCCGCAGGGCGGCGCCTGGGTACGTACGGCGGCTGGCGCGGCGCTGAGGCACTGCCGGCAGCTCTAGAGGCCTTGCCGGCAGCCTAGGCCTAGCGGAGGCTGAGTGACGCCGGGCGGGGCCGTCGGCGCCGCCGCGAGACAAGGCCTGGGAAGGGACGTTCTCTCTCACGGCTTGTTCATGCGGTTCGGGCTTTCCCCATGGCTTGATCCCTGTGCTGGAGCTGTGGCCTGCTGGGCCTTAATGCAGTCACAGAAGTCGGTAGCGCTCGGTAAGAAGATTGAGCAACGTGGCCCCCGTCTCACAGTTTTCTGCATAAATAAATGGTCACGTACGCTCCGCCGATCGCTGCTGTGCGTTGGTGGCGAGGATCGGTGACGCGCAACTGAAGGGGGACGTGGCGTTGCTGATACGCTACGGAACCCTGGAACCCCAGTGCGCTCGGATCACCGTCACATCCCGTCCGGTTCGCGCGTCGCGGTGGAACATCCGTGCGATGTAGGCTGGCGTCTCGCCGGCCAGCTCGCGCTGCGATGGCGTGCGGGCGCGGACCGGACGCCACGCCTGCGGTGAGTGGGTTCGGTGCGTGCCATGGCGCCGCGAGCACCGCCGAGCAGCGGGGGAGACAGGAGACTGCAGCGCCGCGCGACGGATCGCGGCTGGGCCTCGGGGGACTCTGATGCCGACCGGTCAGTCTCTCAAGGTAAGTCGCATGGACGTTTGCACTGGTAGCCGCCGACCGGCACCCAGGTGTGTGCAGGTGCGCTCCGCATGTGTTGCATGCTCGCGCCGCGCCCGCCCAGGAGCGGGGCAGCCGGCATCCAATCAGTCTAAGGGGGCACCGCGTGCTCGCTGCCGCTGAGATAGCGGCGGCTGTTGTGGCGTGCGGGCGGCTCTCCTGTTGACCGCGTGCGGGCCGGGCGCTGCATGAGCCGGCCGCACGCTATCCGAGGCGGCCGGGCGACGGGGAGTGTGCCGGCGGGGACCGGCGCCACGGGCTCGGTGGGGAGTCTGGCCGGGCCGTAGTCAGAGCCTCAGCGCCGCCCATCAGCCAATGCCGGGAGACTGGTCGGTCGCTGGCTGGCGTGGGATCGGCCATGACCTTGGGTATAGGGAACCGATTTTGTGGTCCTGAGCGCTTGAGTCGTGCGATCTATTCGCACGGTCGGAAATGTGTCGATTTTAAGGCTTTCGAATCGTAAGTTCATTCATCGAATAGATCGAAGTCATTCGTAGATGGCGTATCTGTCAAACGAAGTCGTTTTATGTTGCGTGACTTCGCCCGTCGCGATTCAAAAGTGCGTAGGTATACAGCTAGGCCCAGGTCATGATCAGGTCACCATCAGGCGGCGACAGGTCTTGGGGGCCGTGACCCGGTGCTGACCTGTCCGTTGGCCTGGTCAAGACCGACTTCAGCGCGTCGTTTGAACAGGTGACGCCCCGACCGTGAAGCCAGATCCGGCCATGAGCAATCCCGATCCCATCCTGACCTGAACCCAAGCTAATCCGACCCGGCCCGACCCGACCGACCCGACCCGATCCGACCCGGCCCGACCTGACTCGGCAGGTGCCCGGGCGTGGACGGCGCGGCTGACCAACAGCATGCAGGCGCTGACGGTGGACCTGGGCGACACGTTCCGCCTGACGCGGCTGGCCACGCAGGGCTACCCGCGCAGCCGCTGGTTCGTCCGCCACTTCATGGTCGATTACTCGATGGACGGGCGCTGCTTTTCGACCGTACCGCACTGAGGGCGGCGAGCCAGAGGTCAGCGCACGGTCACGGCCGCCGTGCGGGGGCGCGCCCGACGGCAACGGTCAGGGGCGCTCGGTTTAAGTTGGGCTCGCTTTTTGACTCGTGGTTTATCCTGTGCTGCCAGCACTGGAGGCCTTTTGACATTGGCTTTCGTTCCTGGTCTGCTCGAGTCTGTCGTGCTGTGCTGGCTTCGTCGGGTATGCTGCCTCCAGTTTTTTTTTTTTTTGGACGCGTTCCTGTTCCTGTTGATGTGTGTCGTTGATTTTGACTGGTTTGTTTCCATTCGGCCCGGCTCCGTTGCTGTTCCAGAGCTTGAGTTTTGCTCGCTCTGTTCCGTCTGAGTCGTGCTTGCAGCTGCTGCTTTCTGTGTCGTGTTTGGTTCCGGTCTGTTTTCGTCGGCTGGCTGTTCAGGCGGCGTGCTATTGGTGTCGTTCCACTGGTCTGCGGCGCATTGTTTGACCTGCCCTCCAGCGAGTCGGGGAGACCCCGAGCTCGTGACCTGCTGGTTGACGTCAACAATGAATGTCGTGGACGTGACGTCAGTAGCCATGCACACACCATGTTTATATTCCAATAATATATATATTCATTAGTTATATATTTATGATAACCACGTTTTCCCGCCTGGAGGAGGGAACAGCTTGCATGTTGCTTCTGGATGTTAATGACGTCTGTTTTCGGAGATTTTTGCCATGATGACTGGTTGTTTGCACCTTTTTTGCTTGTTTTTGTTTGCTGTCATTATTTGAGTGTGATTTCCATACATTCTTTCACTTACAGGCAGAAATGCTTGTGTGCCTTCTCGTACCAGGAAATTGTAGACACTTAATCTAGACGTCAATGTTCCCACTCAAAGTGTCCGATTGATCATTGCTGCCCCTTGGCACTTTCATGTGGCATTGTATTGTCTGCGCCCTATAAATTAAAGCTCAATGGGTGGTTTATTCTTGCATTATTAAGGCATCAAAGTGCTATTTTTTTCGGTCGGTAACACGGGAAGGATCGATATTCACAAATAACGCCTTGCAGGAGTTCAAAGGAAACGAAAACGGCGACGATATCGTGGAAAACCGGTTCGAGACTCCGATTGTGGCACAGTTCGTTCGTCTCCGGCCCACCAGGTGGCAGGACCGCATGTCGGTGCGACTGGAACTGTATGGGATGCGCGTTCTGTAAGTAGCCCACCCTTATTGTAATGATTTTTAGCACCAGCTGTTACGGAATTCGTTTCATTATTGGGTTGTGAGCGGTTCATTGATACAGATTGACCCGCCGAAGCACAACATTCCGCGGCTAACAACATGCCACCGGCAGCATTGTATGTGATTCCCGGTTCCCGGTTTCCTGGAGCACACATGACGGTCCTCGTGTATGCTCACATACAAATCACGGCGGCCTAAGGCACGCTCCTGCTCGTGTCGCCGTGGCGTCCGCTGGGGCTTTGTCCGGTGCGTGTCTTTATTCGTAACGTGCAGTTTGTGTGAGCTCGCCGATGTGTTGCCGTTCCAGCGGTCGTAACGTGCAGTTTGTGTGAGCTCGCCGATGTGTTGCCGTTCCAGCGGGCATTACCATGTCGTTTAACGGTGACGGATTCGTGGAGAAGAGCCTGGTCCGGAACGAGGTTCACTCCCTCTACGACAGAATACAATTCAGGTTCGTCGGCAGCATGTCCCGCGCTTTATCAAATTTCGTTGGCGATGTTACTCATCCATCTGTACCGTTTTATCGACCTCAGAAGCCTACCTTGCACAGGGTTCAGGAATGTGGGCAGTGTGTAACACGTCTGAGTTGTGATATCAGACTGTCTTGCAACTACGTGACGATTATTTCCGAAGTCGACACCAGGTTGTGTTTTGCGCAGTCTGACACTGTCTGGTAACGCACGCCATCTCCGCGTATCTCCCGGTGACGCCGCCGTGGCAAGGCCGTCTTATGGGCGCCTCCCGTCGACTCTGCCCCGCGCCTTACGGTCGCGGCGCACGCCGCCACCCCGCGCGCCGGTCCCCGGGCCGGCCGCCCGGTCGCTCCGCCGCCGGCGACTCTGCCCCGCGCCTTACGGTCGCGGCGCACGCCGCCACCCCGCGCGCCGGTCCCCGGGCCGGCCGCTCGGTCGCTGCCGCCGTGGCAAGGCCGTCTTATGGGCGCCTCCCGTCGACTCTGCCCCGCGCCTTACGGTCGCGGCGCACGCCGCCACCCCGCGCGCCGGTCCCCGGGCCGGCCGCTCGGTCGCTGCCGCCGCGGCGCGACCGTGGGGCCTGCGCGCGCCGGCCGCCGCTCATCTGGCTGCCGGCCCGGCAGGTTCCGCACCTCGGACCCGAACGGCGTGCTGATGTACAGCCACGGCGCGCAGGGCGACATGCTGGCCGTCCAGCTGGTGGAGAACAAGCTGCGGCTCAACATCGACCTCGGTACGCCGCCCCCCCCCCCCCCCGCCTCTCCCTCCCAGTTGGGCGGGATGCCCGTTCACTGGTGAAAGGTGTGGGTGGCGGTTTGCTGTTCTATTTTGAGCGCCGGACTGCCTTTCAGACGTGGGGAGTTGTTGGCGGGATACACAAAAGACTGTCAGCCCAATGTGTTTGTTTCGGTGCACCCGTGGCCATAGTTTCGCAGCGTGACAACTGAGCGACTGGTAGCCCAGTAGTGCCCTGGCTGGTGTCTCCTTCGCCGCGTCCAGCGTGCTAGCCGCCCTCCGTTCCATGCGTCGTGACGTCTTGTCGATCGGCGCCCCCTGACGGCTAATGTGGCGCGGCTGCGTCGCCAGGCGCGCGCCAGATGACCACCCTCTCGGTGGGTTCGCTGCTGGACGACCACCTGTGGCATGACGTGCGCATCGAGCGCACGGAGCGTATGGTCAACCTCACCGTGGACCGGGTCGAGGTCGCCCGCGAAGTCAACGGCGTCTTCCGCAAGCTGGACCTCAACGACAAGGTAGGCAGTGCCGGCCGGCGGCGGTGGAGGAGGGTGGCCGAGGCGGCGATGTGGCGAGGAGTTTGCTGCTATGATCGGTGCAGTCCGTGCGCTGGTTTGCTTCCATGCTTCCAGTCCCGTGGAGGTGCCGGGGCGTTCGTTGTGGGCGTTACGTTGTCCGTGATATCGATCATGGAGCAGACGATAAACCGTAGTACGATTATGTCAAACCTTTATCAAAAATAGTGGAGGTAAGCTTGTAGGCTGAGGCCCTCCTTGGGTCATCCGCACCGTCATCGAGACTCGGGGAAGATCGAACACTCGTCCGTGATTTGGAGGTAAAGTTTGGTATGTTGATTCTGTGGTTTGTCACTACCCTGCCATGTCCGTTTAGTTATGAGTCTGAAACCAGCACTCCATCGTGCAATTCAAGCAATATTTTAAACAGCTGTGAAACACGTCATCTAAACGATTTAACTCGTGTAAATCCTCAAGCCTAGTTCGCCTCCCCCGCGGGCCAGGGACGAATGCCCCACGCCGCACCCATCGGCTGACTGGGCTCGTGTTTCAGCTGTACCTGGGCGGCGTGCCGTACATCCGGAATGGCATCGAAGTGGCCAGCAACTTCACCGGCTGCATCGAGAACCTGTACATCAACAGCACCAACTTCATCGGCGAGGTGCGCGACCGCCACCAGGACTACACCAACTACAAGGGCGAGTTCAACTGCCCGGTGAGTGAGCCTCCCGTCCGCGCGCACCGATCTCCGCTGACGCTGGCAGCACGCAGCACCGCGGCGGGGGCGGGGCGGGGTCAGGCGGCGGGAGGATGGATGTCGAACGTTGAGCGCGGGCTGTGTGGTGTGGTATGGTGAGGTGTAGTGTGGTGTGGTCCTGGCCGCGGGGGCGACGGGTGGCTCTGCGGCGCGCGGTGAGGGCCTTGCCACGGGGCTGGCGGTCGGTGGTCGGACGGTCGGTATGTGGCGCGTGACCTACTCTGCGCCAAGGTGTGCGTCTCTCCCCCTCCGCCTCCTTCCCACAGGTAGCGATCGCCAGTGATTGATCTCGTGGTGCCGCGTTTCCGTCGATATGGGCCACGTCGGTACTCCTCTGGCGTCGGCGGTCACTGCATTGTCCGAGGCGTTTTGGCGTCGGCCGACCGGCGAGCCGTGTCGTGGCTGACCCGGCCCGCTCCCTGACGCCCGCAGGCGGTGCACACCGTGCCTATCACGTTCCTGGATCGGTCGGCGTTCATCAAGGTCACGGGCAACGACGGCCAGAAACAGCTCAACATCTCGTTCGGCTTCCGCACGTACGAGGAGAACGGCGTCATGGCGTACCACAAGTTCCTCTCGGCCGGTTCCGTTAAGGTATGGTTGGTGTACAGACCATCGCCTGTTCTTGGCGGTGTTCCAGGGAGGTGGCTGCATTGTAAGCCTTACCAGTGTGTCATGTCACGGATTTCTCACCGACACCGTGTTGTGCTTTGGTAAATCAAATTATCGGTCATGTACACGCCTTCGCTTATCATGCCTGCACCTACTTGTGGTTGTATACTTAACAGCTACAGCCAGCTGAATGCGGCTATATATCTTCAAATGGGTGCCATTCGGGATTGTGCATTAGCGTCAGTTACTCGCGTGCAGTTGTGTAAGCAGCTCGCGCCGGCAGACACCCGAGCCTCATGCCGTGCCTGGCGCCCGCTCCACGGCCGCCGGTCGTCTGCGCTGAGCAGCCACCCTCCGCGGCGCCGCCAGGTGTTCCTGCAGCAGGGCCGCTTCAAGGTGGAGCTGGCAACGGAAAGGAACGACGCCGTGGTGCTCGACCCGTTCGAGGAGACGTTCAATGACGGCCGCTGGCACGCGGCCACGGTGGCGCTGGCCGAGAACAGCGCCGTCACCGTCATCGACGGCTACCCCATGTACACGCAACGGCTGATGACCTTCACCACGAGCATCGATTACTGGTTCGCCGGTCAGTGGCCGCTTGCTGCCCCCCTCCCCCGGAGGGTCTGGGGCGTAGCACGCTGCGCAGGCGCCCTGAGGGGCAGGGTGGAGGCGTGGCATGTCGGCCTGACGCTCCTTGGGCGGGGTGTAGGGATCCACTTTGGAGACGTCCGTGAGGAGGAGGCTGATGAGGCTGGAGAAGTTATGCCTACTTTCCCGTCGCCTCTGTGGGGTATAATTATTTTGTTGTTTGGCTTTTGTCTTAATAATTGTTCGTTGTGTACATACCTGCAGCTCGCGTTCATTTGTGTTTCTTGTCCGTCCTTTGTCACTGTTACTATCTGAACATTTTGGCTGTTTGCGGTTCCCACGACTTCTTCGCAAAAAAGATCAAGATCTTTTACATCTCTACCCGGGTAATTTGTCACAGTGCCCACCGCGTGCCTGGCTCCACATAGACTGTCGACGTTTCTCAGGTGGCCTATCCGGAGTGGATAACCCCGGCTACCTGGGCTGCATGAGGAGCATCTCCGCCGGCGGAAACAACCAGAGTCCGCTCAACCTGGGCCCGCAGGTGAGGTTATCGGCTCCGCGGCGCCGCCGCCGTGCCGCGCACCGCTCTCTGCTCGCAGGTCCGTCGATGCTGCGCGCCCCGCTTTGCCACAGCTCGGTACGGTCCGCGGGTGAGGTCGCCGGCCCCGTCGCGCCGCCGCCGCCGTGCGCGCACCCCCTCTCCGCTCGCATCCGTCGATGCTGCGCGCCCCGCTTTGCCACGGATCCTTCGGCACCGCAGGTTGGTCGGTACGGTCCGCAGGTGAGGTCGCCGGCCCCGTGGCGCCGCCGCCGTGCCGCGCACCCCTCTCCGCTCGCAGGTCCGTCGATGCTGCGCGCCCCGCTTTGCCACGGATCCCTCGGCACCGCAGGTTGGTCGGTACGGTCCGCAGGTGAGGTCGCCGGCCCCGTCGCGCCGCCGCCGTGCCGCGCACCCCTCTCCGCTCGCAGGTCCGTCGATGCTGCGCGCCCCGCTTTGCCACGGATCTCTCGGCACCGCAGGTTGGTCGGTACGGTCCGCAGGTGAGGTCGCCGGCCCCGTGGCGCCGCCGCCGTGCCGCGCACCCCTCTCCGCTCGCAGGTCCGTCGATGCTGCGCGCCCCGCTTTGCCACGGATCCCTCGGCACCGCAGGTTGGTCGGTACGGCCCGCTCTCTTGTACTGCAGACACCGCTGTTTTGCAGATGAACCGTCCGCTGTTTTGGAGAGGAACCGTCGTGACCGTCATTCCCTGGTGCTGTCCACTGCCCAGCCGTACCGGGCACGCACGCCGGTGCCGGCTTAGCGTGCCCGGCCGCGTGTTTGTGTGCGCCTCGTGGGAACGTGTGTTCAAGCGTGGTGGCACTTTGATTTAGCGGCATTATCATCGACCTGGAATGTGTTTAAAATTTGATGTGCAACAGTATGTCAGAATTAGAGATTTTAGGTGGAGAGTGCCACCTTTTATGGACGATCAAGGGCTCGCCGTTCTGGACCTCTCGTATCTTGTATCCCATACGTGGATCACTTGAACTTGCCTCTGCTTTCGGCCTTCTTCGGGGCCCTGGCGAACCTATCTGGGTCTTCATGGGACCTCTTGCTGTGCCGATTTGAACGTGGCGTGCGGCATTGCTTTTCCGATTCAGCCGGATGACAGTTGAGCTCTAAATGCTTATAAGTTAGACATCTCTGGACAATCAGATGTACTACTGACTGGCCAGGCATCTCTAGATAACCAAGTGTGTTGTGACGGGAAACAATCATCCTAATGCCACTGCACGCCATTCAGTACTTTGAGCACCGCTCGACGGAAACACACTTCGTCACTGCCATTTCCTAACCATGACCCTGCGGCCGCGCCTTCCCAGAACAAAGTGAACGAGCGCTACATCGTGATCGACGGCTGCCAGATGGACGACCGGTGTAACCCGAACCCGTGCGAGCACGGCGGTGTGTGCACGCAGGACTCGCACGAGTTCTTCTGCGACTGCCGCGACACGGGCTATGCCGGCGCCGTCTGCCACGCCAGTGAGTCAGCCGCGGCGGCCCAAGCCCCGCCAGAACAATGGCAGAGTGTGCCGCTCTGTGCTTGGAATATGCCACGGCTGTACCCAGCCCGCGCTCCCGTACACTCGAGCATTCCTCATGGCTATCAGGGCTAACAGGCTTCAATAGCTTGCACGCTAGTTTTCTGACATTGGAACGTGGAGTGCTGAGACCGGGGTCAGTCTCGAGCCTGACCGCGGCTACTCGTCCGATTGGATGCCCCCCCCCCCCCCCCCCTCCTCCGCTGACACGCCTCCTCGGCCGGCAGCGACGAACCCGGTGTCGTGCGCGCAGCACTTCCTCATCAGCCGCTCGGGCCGGCGCGAGCTGATTAACGTGGACGTGGACGGCTCCGGCCCGCTGGCCGCCTTCCCCGTCACGTGCGTGAAGACCCCCGAGGGCCAGGTGGAGGCGCACCTCCACCACGACGTGCCCGGCGACCAGCTGGTGGACGGCTTCGAGCGACGCGGCAGCTTCGTGCAGGACGTCACGTATGATGCCGACATGCGCCAGGTGAGTTTGGGGGAGGGGGCTGCTGCTTACGACGGGCGGGGGATGGGAGAGCTGAGCTGCTCACGGCATGGGCAGGGGAGCTGTTGGTCACGGCGGCGCGGGAGACAGGGGAGTGCTAGACACTGCAGGACGGCTGCTGGTCACAACTGGTCCGATTTTTCTGGCCGCGGCGAGAGATGGGGGAGCCGCGCGGAGCGTGGCACGGATGGTGACACGAAGGCCGCCTGAAGCTGTGCGGTTCGCCCGGCGTAGATGAGCGTCAGCGTTTGAAGGGTTGCTGTGGGTTACGTCTGTGGTCTACCTGACACCGCTGTCGTCGGCCGCCTGTCGAGGGGCGTAACGCCAGATGCAGCAGCGGGCGCGGTCACCGGCCGGCTCAGCTCCGACTCAAACGGCGACGGCTGACGAAGCCAGCGGTCAGAGTACGAACAGTCCACGGTGCGACCAGCGCGGATCGCGGCACGGCGGCGCCGGGCGGCGGCTGCGGGGCTGAACCGTCGGCCTGTCGCGGCGGGCACCCGTGGCGCCGCCGCGTGCGCCCTGCTCGCCCCGCCTGTTCCCTGGGTGCCCCACTGACGCCCCCGCCTCCTTCCCACCGCAGGTGGAACGGCTGATCAACGCCTCGCTCAACTGCAGGCAAGAGCTGTTCTACGCGTGCCGCCGCTCGCGCCTGCTCAACAGCCCGGTGCGCGAGGGCGAGCTGTTCGAGCCGTACTCGTGGTGGGTGTCGCGCAACAACGAGATCATGGACTACTGGGGCGGCTCGCAGCCGGGCAGCCGCAAGTGCCAGTGCGGCATCCTCGACAGCTGCATCGACCCCACCAAGGACTGCAACTGCGACGCAGGTGAGCGGACTGCGTCTCCCCCGACCCGCTGCCAATGCGGGGCCGGGGGCGAGCGAGCGCTGTCAGTGGCGGCAGGAGGGGAACCGGGGAAGATGGAATGGGAAGCGCAGTACTTTGTGAAGGTTAGTTTTTGAGGTTTGGGTTTTTAGGATCCCGAGTACAGCTGCGGTCTGTCGCGTCTTCCGTATGCGTATCGAATGGCCTGGCAAAAAGGGCGTAACGCCTCTTAGGGTTGTGTAGTATAAGTGTTGCACTCGTGCTGGGCTGCCTTTTGGCAGTCCAGCACCAGTCAGAAACGTGGCGTGGCACCGTTTGCATGGTAGCACTGAAGTAAGCGCCGACATGTTTGATTCCGTCAATCAGTCAACCCGTGATGCCAAGAAGATCGAAATGATATACCCTAAAATGGAGCATAAAATCACCTCTGCGCTTAAAAAGGCGACCGGCGGCGCCGTGTCCGTCCGCCGCCGTCCGCGACCTGACCAGACCCGACCCGACCCGACCCGACCCCGCAGGGCTGGCCAGAGAGGCGTCGGACGGTGGTGACCTGATCTTCAAGGAGCACCTGCCGGTGCGCCAGCTGCGCTTCGGCGACACGGGCTCGCCGGGCGACGAGAAGCGGGGTATCTTCCGTCTGGGCAGCCTCATCTGCGAGGGCGACGGTGAGCGCGCCCACGAGACGGCCGGCCCGCCCGCTCTGGCACGGTGGCGGCGCGCTGGCTCAGTGGTGCGGTGGTTCGTTTGTCAGATGGCTAGCCGGTCGGCTGGATGGTTGTTGATTTGGCTGATTGGTGGGCTAACTGGGTGGTTGACTAGTTGGTTGGGGTGTGGCACAGCCGTTTCTTTGGGTTTTTGTTCAAGTTCTACTTTGTGACCTAAGAGTTGGTGTTCTGTCAGACCACAATATTCGTCACTGACCCTCATTTAGGGGGCAGGCGGGGCGAGCTTCTTTTCTCCGTTTCACTGACCTTGTGCCCCGTTCGGCAGCTATCTTCGACAACACGGTGACGTTTCACTGAGCTTGTGCCCCGTTCGGCAGCCATCTTCGACAACACGGTGACGCTTCACTGACCTTGTGCCCCGTTCGGCAGCTATCTTCGACAACACGGTGACGTTTCACTGAGCTTGTGCCCCGTTCGGCAGCCATCTTCGACAACACGGTGACGTTTCACTGACCTTGTGCCCCGTTCGGCAGCTATCTTCGACAACACGGTGACGTTTCACTGAGCTTGTGCCCCGTTCGGCAGCCATCTTCGACAACACGGTGACGTTTCGCCTGGCGGACGCCACCATTGACCTGCCGCCTTTCGACATGGGCTACAGCGGCGACATCTACTTCGAGTTCAAGACCACCAAGGAGTCCGGCACGTTCTTCCACATCGAGGGGCCCAGCGACTTCATCAAGGTCTCCATCACTGGTGAGGCGTGGGGTAGATTGTGGAGGCGCTGCTGTTCAACTTTGAGGGACTTGTTACGGTGTCGGGAGGGTTTAGACGGTTGAGCCATTGCGAATAGTGCTGTGATGTCGGTTTGGTGCATTTGTCGGTTGTCGGGCATCGTCCAAATGCGGCTCTCTGGCATGTTAGGCACGCAAACAACTGGCACGTATGCGGCGCTGGGGGCATATGAGCCCGACCAGTGCTCGACTGAACACCTGCCGCCATATCCAGTAGGCTTGTGATGGTCCTATATATAGGATGTCGGTCTGCACGAATAGGTGGGCAGCTGTGTGCGGTTGCGAATGATGATAAATGACAAATACGTCTTGTAGCGGATATTCGGACCCTCCAGCGCTGGTTCCTGACATTTGAATCAAGGCCAGCACACGGTGCGCCCTATAAACAGTTGTGTCTGTTCAAACGCCAGTGGCAGCGTTGCTCCACTTGCCTTGTGGTATTGGCAACAAGTCACTGATCCGCCGTCCTGCGAGCACCCACCACCTGCGCCTGAGCCGTGCGTGCGGCTCCGCGCCGCCGCGTCACGTGCGCCTCGCCACGTCGGTGGTGCTGGCTGACCGTACGGCCTGCGCTGCCCCAGGCGGCAACTCGATCCAGCTGAAGTACCGCGCCGGCAGCGTGTCCCTCAGCGGCTCGGTCGACGTCAGCAGCCGGCTCAACGACGACAGCTGGCACTCGGTGCTGGTGGAGCGCAACCGCAAGCAGGCCCGCCTGCTGGTCGACAATTCCCTGAAGGAGGACGTCGCCGAGCCGTCCGGGCCCGTCCGCTTCCATGGAGCTGACTTCTCGGCTCGTGGTCGGTGCGTGTGGGGGCGTCGGAGACGGCGGAGACGGCGGGGGGAGCAGGCGGTGGCGCCGGCGCGCCCGGAGACGTCTGGGAGGGCGGGGGATAGCGGCGCCAGCCGTGCTGCGGTGAGAGTGCAGGAGTGGGCCGCGTCTGCGCGCGGCAGGCTGAGGTGGGTGTTGCACGGTTTGGGATGGGGCCTTTCCATGGAGCCTTCCGCTGCCTCATCTGCCATGTGCGACTGAGTAGCATCAGTTTGTCTTCGTCTGCCGCAGCTGGTCGTTGTCGCGCTGTGACCTGCGCGTCCATGTCTTTCCCTCTCGTCGCACGCTCACCTGACCGGGCGTGACGTTTTCCCCGCCAGGCGCCACCACGCAGTACCGGAACGGCTTCGTGGGCTGCATGCGCGCCTTCATGATCAACGGCCAGCTGCAGAACCTGAAGTACCTGGCGGAGCGCGGCCTGTACGGCCGGCCGCTGTACGGCGTGTCGGTCGGCTGCCAGGGCAAGTGCGTCAGCGCACCCTGCCTCAACAACGGCACCTGCGTGGAGGGCTACTCCGACTACACGTGCAACTGCCGCTGGACGGCCTTCAAGGGCCCCATCTGCGCCGATGGTGGGTGACGATGCACGCGGCGTTGGAGGACGGACGGGATGGCCGCGTCGTCCGCGCCGGTTGGAAGGAGCACGTGCTCCGTGCCGCTGCGGGCCCTCGCTGAAGCAGGGCGTGGGGAATGTCGCATGGCAGGTGTCACATGGCAGTAGAATGTCGCACGGCAGGCTCCTTCGTTGTGGGGTCATAGTCCGCACCGCCCCATACTACAGTGTAGTGCGAACGCGATGTTCTCGCGTCATTGTGCGGCGTTGTCGCGCTACGTTGGTCTCCCGCTCAGCCTCCACACTGCACGGCGCTCCGCCCGCCGGCAGAGATCGGCGTGAGCATGACGCGCAGCTATATGGTCAAGTACGAGCTGGAGGGCAGCTACAAGAGCACCATCGCCGAGGACATCCGCGTCGGCTTCACCACGACCAGTCCGTCCGGCTTCCTGGTCGGCCTCGTCTCCAACATCACCAAGGAGTACATGACCATCATGGTGTCCAACAGCGGTCAGTGGCCACCTCCCTCCGCCGGGTGGACACGATCCCCCGGGCGCGTGGCGGCGAGCCGCCAGTGCGCCGTTTCGTCACGCTGATTATTGGTCACGCCGCGAAACTCACTTCTTAAATTTGTCTCCAGTTGCCATGAGAAAGTCATGATGTATAGTATGTCTTGTCCCTTGACGGGAAACTGTATGTTTTTCTTTGTGGCGTGCACAATGCAGCCCCACCGGGTTGAGTTCTTTATCTATCTTCTACCGTGCAGAAACACGCTGGTAATGCTAACATTCCGGCCATCCTGATAGTGACGTAAATGACGTGACGCAAATTACATGCCGTGCAATAAATGACGTGCCGTACCATAAATGACATGCCGTGCCATAAATGACGCGCCGTGCCGTACGTGGCCGTATCTGACGTGCGCGGTGTTGCGGGCGCGTCAGCCGTGACCTCGGTCCGCGATGCGTGACCTCGGGGTCGGCCGCCCGCCGCCAGGGCACATCCGCGTGGTGTTCGACTTCGGCTTTGAGCGGCGTGACGTCGTTTACCCGGATAAGATCTTCAACGAGGGCCAGTTCCACGACGTGCGCGTGCGGCGCCTGAACGGCGGCTCCACCATCCAGATCCAGGTGGGTGGGGTGCAACTGGAGCGGGGTGGTGCGACCGGCTGGGCTACACCGGGTGTCTCCGGCGGTTGTCTTGGACTGAGCGGCGACCCGGGCCGCTTCGCGTACCGGCGGTGTCCGGCGTCTCCCGGCCGCACCCGGCCGAGCCTGGCCAGCTTCGCGCGTCTCACGCTCCGCCCTCCGCCCAGGTGGACAACTACCCGCCGTTCAGCGAGACGTTCTACGTCAACCCTTCGGCGGACGTGCAGTTCGACAACATCCAGTACCTGTACATCGGCAGGAACGAGAGCATGCTGGAGGGCTTCGTCGGCTGCATCAGCCGCGTCGAGTTTGACGACATCTACCCGCTCAAGCTCATGTTCCAGGAGAACCGGCCCTCCAACGTCATGGGCAGCTCGCGTGAGTTTGGTGCCGGATGTGGGGCGCGCTCGAGGGGAGCCGGCTGGGCTGCGGCGAGGGAGGCTCGTGCGGTATGGGTGTGGGAGGTGGTGTGTGTTCCAGAGGCGCCCGTGCCCCGCTGATGCCGCAGAAACCGGGGTGCGGCCTGAGAACGGTACGGAACGTCTTGTCTGACGCCTGTAGCTCAGAACGTGCAGTTGATGGTTGTGATGACTTTTATTGGGAGTTGCATGTTACCCTGGTCGAAGCGGGCGTCATCCATGTTTCGTGATTGGCATCGCTTGCTTTCTCTGGTGCGGTTCTGTTTGCTAATGCTTGTCCAGCCTGAATGTGCTGACGCTGGATTTCCTCTCTCATTCCATCGAGATCTGGCAGTTCGTTTTAGTGCCGTCAGTTATGACTAGCTGCGGAAAATAATGTTTTCTCACAGGCCGTGTGCAGTTACTTTTATTGGCGTTCATGGTCACTGTGTTTGGGCGTCTGGCTCTCCCAACGTGAAGCATCCCCTTTAGGCGACGCGGTAGTAACCGCAGCTCCAACTGGGCCCGCCCCGTCCTTCCAGTGCATAGCTCTGGCTCTGAGAATCCCGTGCGCCCCATCTCCCCCTCCTCCCCCGCCCCTGCCGCGCGAGCCGCCGCGACAGCGGCAGCTCAGCAGCGTCGGCGGGAGCGCGCGGCCCGCTGCTCCCGGCGGCGCTGCCGAGCATCAACACCCCGGCGGGGCGGTGGTGACGCGTGCCGCCGGCGGCCGCGCTCCGCCCAAACACCGGCGCCCCGGGCGGTCCCGGCCGGCCGCTAGAGGGCGCACCAGGTGGCGGTGCGCCGTCTCCGGCGGGCCGGGCGTTGGCCGTGGCCGCGCGCAGCCTGCTGCTGCGATCTGCTACGTGCGGGTGTGTGTGGGTGTGGTGTGGGTGTGGGTGTGGGTGTGGGTGTGGGTGTGGGTGTGGGTGTGTGTGTGTGTGTGTGTGTGTGTGTGTGTGTGTGTGTGTGTGTGTGTGTGTGTGTGTGTGTGTGTGTGTCGGTGTTGCTGTTGTGCCTGGTTGTCCCGTGACTGCGTGCTGTGGCTGCCTGTTTTCCGGTCTGTGCGTCCTGGCGGCCTGCCCGCCGTTTGCCTCGTGCCATAGTCGATCTGTCGTGCTCGCTGGTGGCCAAGCTGCCACCGGCGCGCAGTTCGAGCAGGCCAAATCCACAGCGCAGCAGAGTGGGCACTGCTGCAGTGTAGGGTGATCCTTGCTGATCATGTTCCGAGTAGCGGCTGCGCCCGGGGTCTGGTCTGTTGTGTTGTGTGGGCGTGACGCGGGCATTCAGCGGTCCTCGCGTCCCAGACCGCTGGGGAGCACGCCCCGTGGCCTGCCGGCGTGACGTGCGTGCCCTGTGCCCGCGCAGCCAAGATCCACGAGGACTACTGCGGCATCGAGCCGGTCCGCCACCCGGAGGAGGTGACCGAGACCCGGCCGCCGCCCGAGGTCGACGAGGACATCGTCAGCTCGCTCTACAACGAGCTGGACGCGGCCGTGCTCGGCGGTGAGTCCACCCGCGGCACCGGCCTGGGCCACGCGCCGCGCTCTGTTCGTCAGCAGCTGGAAACGGTCGTCGCCCGCTCGTGATGTTCACGGAGGGAAGGCATGGAAGTTCGCTGTGGGACGGTGTTTGTTGGTGCGCGGAAAAGTTTGGGCGTAGTTTTGCGTGGTGTTTGGTCGTTTTGCGTGGGCCGTGATAAATCTGATTGTGATGACCGGCTGCGCGCGGAAAAGTGACTGGCTATTGATTCATCTGTTGAACCAGTGAAGTCGTCTTGCAACGCACACTCCGGCGGTGCTTCCGTTTCGTTCGTCTGAATCTCTGACGTCTGTTCCCTGCTCATCTTTTCTGTGACATCTGACCTTATGTCTGAGACAGTGTCCTCTACCGATCTGACTCCTACCAACCCGTGACCCACTGACCCCTGACACGAACCCTTGGCACCCTGTCACGCTGACATCGGCCGCTGCCCCTCCGGCAGACGGTGCTCTCTGACCCCTGACCGGGCCTCTCCGTACCCTGTCTCTCCGGGCCTGCCCGGGCCTGCGTGACCCCTGACCGGACCGGCATGACCCCTGACCGAGACCCCCTGGACCCCGCCCCTCTGGCCCCGTGACCGGGCCTCTCCGTACCTTGCCTCTCCGGGCCTGCCCGGGCCCGCGTGACCCCTGACCGAGACCCCTGAACCCCGCCCCTCCGGCCCCGCCCAGGCCCGCCTGACCGTCATCCCCCCTTCGGCAGGCGTGCTCGCCGTCGTGTTGATCGCCATCATCGTGATGGCGATCCTGATCGCCCGCTACACGTCCCGCCACAAGGGCGACTATCTGACGCGCGAGGACTCGGGCGCCGATGGCGCCGAGGACGCCGACGAGGCCGTCGCCCAGGGACGCACCGGCCACCACGTGGAGAAGATGAAGGAGTTCTTCATCTAGGAGGTGCCCGGCGCGCGGCCGGGGAGGCAGCCCGCCGCGGGCGGATGCTCGTACATTCCATCCCACTTCTCATCTGTTGTGTTTGACGCGCCTGTCTCACCAGTTCGCTTTGCCGTCCAGCTTTACAGCGTCGCGGGCGAGGGCCTCGCCCGTGTCTTGATCCGCCCGCAGATAGATGGCGGCGGGCTGTGAGTCGACCCATCACCATCCCCCTTCCCCCCTTGCACATCTCGCTTCTGCTCATGTGTTCGTTTACGTTCGTGGAGTGTGACAAGGCTCTGCATTGACATCGAATTATATTAGTGACATCATCGTGCGGAAGTGCGCGTGGACTGCGCCGTGCCGCGCGCGCACTGCGCGTGGGGGCGCTCCCAGTATATCGGCTGCCGCGGCGAAGCTCGACGCCCCAGTCTTGTGGCGTTGGAGATGCGTTTCGTAGTGCGGTCTGTCAGCCTCGTGGCGCTCTTCGTTGTGTTTTGGAGTTGCGATCTTTACTGCCTTAGGTGTTCCGTTGTGCTTCACGAGATGTTTGGGGCAGTATCTGTGTCGCAGCTGGCCTCGTGGTTATCACTTGTGATGACTGGGAGGAGTCTCAACGTCTGCCCAGGTCATACCCGCTGCTACTCTTTGATAGCTTCACTGCTCACTTGTTTTTTTGGAATTGCTGTATTGCCGTTGTTTGCGATGGAAGTGGTGAGTGGGCACCACGTTTTCTCCTACTACCCGCTGTGTTGAATGTGCTGTATCGGGATGGGTAGGATAGAGCGTGATGCGACACGCGCCAGAAGTGAATCTCGCCAGATGCCTCAGCCTAAAAACTATTGTGTGCGCAGCCCACGCGCTCCGCTCATGAGCCCGTAGCCAGCGAAGAGGAGCGGTAGATCTTCCACAGTGTGTTGACCGAGTCGCCTGTAGACGGTAGATGGTTGTTACCGTTGCACGCCTTGAAGGAGTCACTGCTTAGTCCGTGGAGGAGCCCCGATAGAGCTGCTCTGGAGCGAAACTGCTCAGCTGCCGAGAGATCGGCTCACTGTTAACGAAGTCGATCTACAGTGCAAACAGCGTGACCGGAGGCGCCTGTCTCTCTTACATGTCCCGCCAATAAAGTGCAGCTGGATTCGACTGGTGCGTGTGGTGTGGGCTCGGCGGCCGTTTGCGCTCGTGTCTTCCACCGAGACAGACGGGCGACACGCACAAGGGCGGCCGCTGGCGTCCGGTGTGCGCGGGTGTGCCGCTGCCGGCCGGCTCGGGCGCCAGCCGGCGCCGGGCGGCCGGTCGGCCCAGGCTGTGGCGCCACTTAGTCTCAATCGGATGCCAGGTTTGACAGGAATAACTGCCGTGCGTGGTCAAAAAGGCCCCGGGTAAATTGTTCAGGAGAAGCATTTGTAGGTATCGGTGGATTAAGCATACGTGTTCAGAAAGGGAATTTGGACATATTTTGAACGCAAGGCGTTCACCTTTTTTGGCTTTAACATCAGGAGGCTGCATCGAATGATTTACTGAATTCCTGTTCCGAAAAAAATTCGCTGAGGCCCTCCTACCTTTACACAGCAGTTCCTGTCGTGCCGTGAGCCATGTCTGGTTATCGCCTGAAATGGATGTGACTTAGTTTAATAAAGAGAAGCGAGAACTGTTCATGAATACATTTGTGAGCGTTCGTGGGATCGCATTACGGAGCGCTTTCCGCCAACCCCACGCTTGTGAAATGATTTTCAGCCTGGTCATGGCACTAAATAAACCAGGCAGCTATGGCGCACTGAAACGCAAACAAGTGGCATTCAGTGCGAAATGAGCTGTTTCTGGATGCTGTTTTGTTTCGGAATGTAACGGATTGAAGTGAATCATTCTTCCGACTTCGCGCTTTACCTGTCATTTATAACAATGTTTTTTCCTTGTTTCGTGAGACGAATTACAAGCCACTAAATATGTTTTCTCACCCTTACTTGTCATTGCATCGCTTCCGCGATAGTGACTCTTACCTGGGGTGTTTTCGCAGCGTCCCAGGAATTTTCAGCGTTGCGTGACCTCACGGGAAATCTTGGCCGGAGGTGTTCGCAGCCCGACGCGCTATCTGTTTCATCTTGGCAACAGTCGCGACAATAATTGCGTATGAAAAGATACGGAAATTTTCTTCTGCATGTTCTACGCATGCTTACAGCGAAAACTGAAAATTGTCATGTTTGTATCATAATAATTACCTTTTCATTACTTGCGGTCGGTTTTTGGGACCGTGAGCTGACTTCACTGAAATTGAATCTGTTTCGTCATTGGTGTCCCACCTAGATGAAATTGCGGGAAAAGATTTCGCGCGCCCGTCAAAGGCTCTAGTGACGGCACATAAATATTTGTCGTCTGGGTTGCTGTGAACATCAAAGGGCTCAGAATCTATGGGGTATGACATCACGAACGACGTCGATGGCATGGATTCTTGGTCGTCTGGGTCGCTGCGGGTTCATCTGTAATGTATGTGGCGGTATGAGAGGATGAATTTTTCTTGCAAGTACACCGTGTAAGCGCAGGTACGTGCGTGCGTATGTGTGTGTATAACTTTACCAATGTAATGTATGTAATGAGGAAATGTAAAATCTGCAACGTGAAACGTAGATGAAACGTAAGATGGTCTGCCGGAACAGGATATCCATGTGAAATTTCTTTGGCTTTCAAAGACTAATTGTTTCATCATTACCACAAGTTAATGTTCCACTGAATCCCGCAAATGCCGAACAAACGCAGCTTACCAGTCCTCGCCGAAGAGCGTTTGGCATCAGCACGGGCACATCTCCTTGTTTATACGGTCGGCGGACGCAGGTGTGTGTATCAATCAGCCGCTCACGTTGGCTGCTGCAGCGTGCGGTGGGAGGGGAGGGGCGAGGGGAGAGGTCGGCGGACCCGGGCGCCGCGTTCGACCGGACCGGCTGTTTGTGCGCCGCACGGTCCGTGTCAGGTTACCCGGCGCCGGTCACAGCCGCGGGAGGTGTTGTGGCGGCAGGGCACCGCCCCTCGCCCCACCCGGTCAGCCCACTGGCGGCGCCGCCGCGTCGCTCGCGCCTGGCTGCACGGGGCGGCACGGACCTCCGCCACCGAGGCGCCCGTGGCGGAGATCCGGAGCCGCTGTGCAGGGGGCGGCAGTCGTCTTGGGAAAATAGTTGGTGCGCGAATAGTCTGGACCGCAAACCTTCTCTGGTATGGCCATTTTCCCGAGCGCGCCATGTTCTGCCGTCAGCATACACGCTTGGCAAGCCTATAAACGCTTGACAACGGCACGCGGCACCCCAGCTGACGTAAATCGTCCATGGCCAGCAAAGCGAACACAGTCGGCTGTGGCTTACTGTACAGGCAGGCACGCCGTCAGCGGCGTTCTGCACCGCTTACTGTGCGGGGGTATCTACTGCGCCCCGCCGCCGTCGGAGGCTTGTTCCCACCGGCGCATCTCTCTAATGTGGAAGTCCTGAAGTCCAGGGCAGTCCTGTGGGCGAGCTGCTCGCCGCATATGCGGTGATTGGATTTTGTCACCGTGCCGCCTCGTTTGGCGAGGAGGCATGCATGTGTCTTGGGCTTTTTGCAGAAGAAGAGGTCAGCATGCGGTGGGCCAAGGCTACCCTGGATGTCGGTCATTTATCTCGGTCAGCAACAACAGCATGGCATGTTTAAGCCACCGCGCTATGCTCGGCAGGCACACATCAGACGAAACCCATCGTTCTGTGTCCAATCAACCACAAAGACGTCCTTTGTGGCGTGGGACGAACACAACAGACGTGATTGCTATCACCCTACGGATGGTACGTGCCTTAACACGCGCCCCGGTGACCGGTTGGATACAATTTTGCTCGGGTGGGAGTCAATTTGACTCCCCTCAGATCTCAGAGACTAAGAGAGCTAGATACACTAAATTCATAGGGTGCGTTAACGGGCATGTAAACTTACTCGTGTCAAAATTTGTAGTTCCCAGGTCTGGACTTTCGGGTCAAATAAGGCCAAGGAAGGTCAAACTCCGTAACGGTGACCAAAGTTCCCCTGAATCTAGATACTTGTTCTAAGCAAAAGATCACGGGTCCGCATTTCAGATCAGTAACCTTACTTGACCTTTCGCAGGTCATTTGACCTGAATCATACAAAACTGCTTTAAGCTTTGTATTCGAATAAGCCTCAAGGGTTGTGATAGGCAGTACGCTCCTAAAAGCGAAATTTTGACGGGGTCATTACAGATCAGTGACCTATTTTGACCTTTAAGAAGTTTAAGAAAGATGTATAATGCGGTTCCTGTTATCATTAAATTCAAAATGAGCACCAGAAACTACCCTACTCAGCAAGCTGCTCAGTAGCAAAGCAAGTTGGTTATGACCTTGTGTGACCTTCATGCATGACCCTAGGTTAATAGAATTTCTTCATAAAATTGTTGTGTTGCCTAAGAAACCATCTCAGAGATGCATCGTTTCGTCTAACACTCAGTTGCTACACTAGCTTGAAAGATTCCAAAAAAATTGTCTTCGCTGAATCCATGGCTTGACTTCGACCCATAGTGGGCCAGCGGCCTTGCAGGGTACGTCTAATTTTTACACCACGCAATCTACTGTTTACTTTCTTACAGGCATGCAAAACTTGGCCCAACTGCGTCGCGCCGTCCAAAAACCATTCTGGAAGCACGTTGCGGCGGTTCAGATTGGCCCCCACCTGAGCGCGTGTTAACACAAGCGAACGGTAAAGCCATCGCGTTTGGGTACCTACACGGCTGGGACGAGCCGATGCATTAGAATATCCTAATCGCGTGTATCTGGCAGGCGATAGTGTACTACTGCTCAGCGTCGTGGGGTTGGCAAGCAGTTTGGACCTGGGAATTTTAATCGACGAGGTGTGAATTTCGAGCAGTTCAGTTTTAGCGACGACGTATGTCTTGCAGAGAAGTACGAATAACTGACATGCCGCGATCTGTCTCCCTTTACGCCACAGCAATTTTGTATTTGTAGCCGGTTTCGTAAAAAGGTGACGTGGTGGCACCCTGGTCTACCACTAGCGTGCCTGTGGATCGGACAGCGTTGACGCTGCTAGAAGATCTATGCACGGTGCATTCGCCACGCATTATGCTGCTGGTTTCCTGCGTCCACCTGCTCTCGTTGCCAAGATCTGACCTACTCGGATCTCATCTGGTCATCTGATCTGACAACAATCTAAAGCGACCAACAACGGGCGATTCGTGGCATGCGCACGACTGCGCGTGTTATCCTGCTTTGGCCTAAACTTCCGTGAAAGGTGGTCGATCGCCTTTTATGACAGTAACAATGGCAGATGATCGCCCATGCGTGTGAGTTCTCTCCTCCGCCCATATTCGTCAGACTCATCCCGCTGCGACGCCCGGCCCTTGAGCTTTGGATTCGTTTCTGACGACCATTTTCGTGATTTTCGTCATGATTTGAAGATTTTACGCATTCCGTGGTAACCGAGCTGGGACATGATCCAGGGGTGATTGGCGACGTCGCAGACAAACGCCACCTATTAAAACAGTAGTTTTAAAGGAAATTGTTCACACGTGAAGAGATTGAAGCAAGTATCAAATATGATGAAATAAGCTCCTTTATAACAATTGCTATACTTTTTAAGTGGAAAACACAGCCTGCTCTAAGCCAGCAAAGAAAAGTCTGATCTAGACAACAAACTGTCTGTTCAGTAAATGTGTCCCTCAATGAATCATGGTCTGATTACGCCATCGTACCTTGCACAACATTGGGTTAGAGCCAATTGACGGCCGTTATATCTGGAAATTGCGATGACAAACGCCAGATACGAACGCATTGGCAATTTTATATGTTTGGTTTTGATCGCTGTACATCTTATAGAACGACAGGACTTTAATAACCTTATAATGACGTCATGAATGCCAAGGTGACTGAAGTACTCTCTCCGATGTAGCTTGCAGGCATGAAGCTCAGGAACTTGAGGGGCTGAGGTCTTAAGAAGGACAGGGTTATGAACAGCACTGAAACGTCTTCAAGATGGCTATTTCAGTTCAAAGCTCCATATAAAGGTGGAACACTCCCTTCAACCTAGTCGCAGCATTTCAGCGTCTTCAAAAACGATACAGCACAACTTGAGCTGCTCGGTGCTGAAAATCCGATCGCGGCACCGTC